GCGATGACTTCATTATATGCTGTCGATCTAAGCATATGAATACCTTCGAAAGACAACTACAAGAATGTTTGAATCGACTCTAAATTTGGGCAGATGAAATTGGATTTAAATTTTCAAAATCAAAAAAGAGTTTGTATGCATTTCTGTCAGATGTGGAAACAACACGACGATCCAAATTTTTCTCATTGTGGTGTACCCATTCCGGTTGTTGAGCAAACCAATTTCTTAGATGTAATATTCGACAAGAAATTGTCGTTCCTTCGACATATATAATATCTTAAAGCCAAATGTCTGAAGGCACTGAATATTCTGAAGGTTGTGTTCCACACTGGTTGGAGAGCTGGTAGAACTCCAGATCAAAATTAGACCACGGTTCCATTGTGTGTGGATCTGCTAGACCTTCGCATCTCAAATTATTAGACAATGTTCATCACCAGGGTCGGAGGCTCGCTCTCGGAACTTTTAAGACCGCACCTACAGCAAGCCTCTATGTAGAGGCTGACGGGACATCACTATACAGCCATCGAAATAAATTGGCTTTGCAATACACCATTCAGTTAAAGTCATTTTTTTCAAATCCTGCTTTTTCACTTTTATTTGATCAAAATTATAAAGTTTTGTTTCAAAACAAACCAAAGACCATTCCACGATTCGGTATTCGGATTTCCGCTCTTTCACAAAACACAAATTTTGATATTGACCAAATAAGTCATTTAGAACGATAGAAATTTCAACCTGGCTCTTGAATTCACCTGAAGTTGACTTTTCTCTTCATGCAATGGTTAAATCAGACACCGACAGTTGCGCCTTTCGTTCATCCTTCTCGAAATTGCATTTAAAATATGAAACATTTCTACATTTATGTACAGATGGTTCAAAAGATAATGATAAGGTTGCAGCGGCCATGGTAAAACAAGATGAAGCCTATGGATGCTACCGAACAACATCTCAATATTCTCGGCGGAAGCGCGAGCTATCTTTTACACGAGATTCATCAAATTCTAGGTTATCTGAAAGATATTTGTCTATATTATAGTGTATGACTTACCATTTTATTCTTTTGTGATAATATAACCATTTAAGATTTTTAGCATTTGTCTTTTACATTTTAGTATGTTTGATGCTATTTCCGTTTTGGGTCGCTGTGTGTTTCACCGGTTGATGACCCTAATGACCTTTTATGTGTTGATGGGCCGTTAACATACACGGTAGACCTGATTACCGGTTCAAGGTTCGGGAACTTTTGTGAGCGAGAAATATGTCGTCTACTACAAGGAAGCAGCCGAGAGGTCACGGTTTGGCGTGAAACCTGTCCCGTCTCCTAACATAATTACAACTGCGATATTTGGATAAACTTACGGTATTTGTTTGAATTATAAGCAGGTGTTTGAATGTATAGGAATTATTGCAACAAACGCCTAAATGGCACAATAATAGGATAACTGTTGGTGACAAGGTTTTTTAAAGACTTCATTTAGAATTTACTAAAACAAAGCATTAGAATTTCTCGTGACGGATTTCTAAATGCTCGAAAACGTGATGACAAAAGGCTACATTAAACAACAAGAAAACTTTCAAAAGCAAAGGGCAAAGAAAATGGTGGGGAGAACCTTCCGATTTTATTGATGGTGACTGGTTAAACACAGAAGCACCGCCTGTAGAAACCATCAAAGTTATGGTCTCCCACTATATTGTAATCACAAACTCATTTCTTTTTGAAGCAAAGCTAGTAGATAGTCGTCTCTGAAGCCTCTGTAACTCTGAAGTTGATATCATTGTACATCTATTTAGGACATGTGATCAATTACACAAATATATTTCAAAATCTAGATATGTTGTAGAAGGCACTTTTCATACTTTTTGTATTAAAGAAACAAATATTTCTTTTTGGTAAAATCAGTTACAACATTTAAATCTAGGAAGTTGATTTTATTCACTTGTTCATTTAATTACGGATCTGGAGTCCGCTATTACATTATCATTCATATACGTGTAATGTACATCGATTTCCAGTCTCTGAAATGATCGTACGGCACGATTTGCGTATATGTTTTGTTTAATGTGTATTTTAAATTCATATAAGATAAAAAAAAAAAATAAATAAATAAAGAAAGAAATGTGCTTCAGTCGAGTCATGATTCAGGCAATTACAAATCTTGTTAGTCAACTTACGCTCGCTTTTAGGTTACGCCTATTTGATATTAGTTATGCATAATTGAATAACAACTTTCAATACAAATTTTAAATGAGACAGAGCAGTAAACAAATGAACCTGCCTCATACAGCTCCTTCGTCCTCCTGCTGCTCATCAGTGATGATAGCTGTCTCATACAGCCCCTTGGTCTTCCTGTTGCTCATCAGTGATGTTAGCTGTCTCATACAGCCCCTTCGTCCTCCTGCTGCTCATCAGTGATGTTAGCTGTCTCATACAGCCCCTTCGTCCTCCTGCTGCTCATCAGTGATCTTAGTTGTCTCATACAGCTCCTTGGTCTTTCTGCTGCTCATCAGTGATGTTAGCTGTCTCATACAGCCCCTTGGTTTTCCTGCTGCTCATCAGTGATGTTAGCTGTCTCAGACAGCCCCTTCGTCCTCCTTCTGCTCATCAGTAATGTTAGCTGTCTCATACAGCCCCTTCGTCCTCCTGCTGCTCATCAGTGATGTTAGCTGTCTCGTACAGCTCCTTCGTCCTCCTGCTGCTCATCAGTGATGATAGCTGTCTCATACAGCCCCTTGGTCTTCCTGCTGCTCATCAGTGATGTTAGCTGTCTCATACAGCCCCTTCGTCCTCCTGCTGCTCATCAGTGATGTTAGCTGTCTCATACAGCCCCTTCGTCCTCCTGCTGCTCATCAGTGATCTTAGTTGTCTCATACAGCTCCTTGGTCTTTCTGCTGCTCATCAGTGATGTTAGCTGTCTCATACAGCCCCTTGGTTTTCCTGCTGCTCATCAGTTATGTTAGCTGTCTCAGACAGCCCCTTCGTCCTTCTTCTGCTCATCAGTAATGTTAGCTGTCTCATACAGCCCCTTCGTCCTCCTGCTGCTCATCAGTGATGTTAGCTGTCTCGTACAGCTCCTTCGTCCTCCTGCTGCTCATCAGTGATGATAGCTGTCTCATACAGCCCCTTGGTCTTCCTGCTGCTCATCAGTGATGTTAGCTGTCTCATACAGCCCCTTCGTCCTCCTGCTGCTCATCAGTGATGTTAGCTGTCTCATACAGCCCCTTCGTCCTCCTGCTGCTCATCAGTGATCTTAGTTGTCTCATACAGCTCCTTGGTCTTTCTGCTGCTCATCAGTGATGTTAGCTGTCTCATACAGCCCCTTGGTTTTCCTGCTGCTCATCAGTGATGTTAGCTGTCTCAGACAGCCCCTTCGTCCTCCTTCTGCTCATCAGTAATGTTAGCTGTCTCATACAGCCCCTTCGTCCTCCTGCTGCTCATCAGTGATGTTAGCTGTCTCGTACAGCTCCTTCGTCCTCCTGCTGCTCATCAGTGATGATAGCTGTCTCATACAGCCCCTTGGTCTTCCTGCTGCTCATCAGTGATGTTAGCTGTCTCGTACAGCTCCTTCGTCCTCCTGCTGCTCATCAGTGATGATAGCTGTCTCATACAGCCCCTTGGTCTTCCTGCTGCTCATCAGTGATGATAGCTGTCTCATACAGCCCCTTCGTCCTCCTGCTGCTCATCAGTGATGTTAGCTGTCTCATACAGCCCCTTGGTCTTCCTGCTGCTCATCAGTGATGATAGCTGTCTCATACAGCCCCTTCGTCCTCCTGCTGCTCATCAGTGATGTTAGCTGTCTCATACAGCTCCTTGGTCTTTCTGCTGCTCATCAGTGATGTTAGCTGTCTCGTACAGCTCCTTCGTCCTCCTGCTGCTCATCAGTGATGTTAGCTGTCTCAGACAGCCCCTTCGTCCTCCTGCTGCTCATCAGTGATGTCAGCTGTCTCATACAGCCCCTTGGTCTTTCTGCTGCTAATCAGTGATGTTAGCTGTCTCATACAGCCCCTTCGTCCTCCTGCTGCTCATCAGTGATGTTAGCTGTCTCAACTGTTGTAAGCATAAAGGCGACTAATGAAAATCCAAATCGGTAGAAATATATGTCTAGAACTTGCTGGTGATATGACCTGACCCTAAATTTCAATCATTTCAAAAGTACATGAAGTGCATGTGTAACTTCCGAAATGTATTAGTATTCGAACTTACGAAAGGGTGATATACAGGTAACGACAAAGCTAGGGGACCACCAGCAGTGTATATCACCTGTGGTCCCGGAGACAAAAAACACCCTTTAATAATCCAGAACTAGATATAGTAGAGCCACATAAAAAAGTAACAACATACAACTATAGAATAAAATTCTTATAACACAGCCACTAGGAAATGGTCTCCTTCATCAGAAAATTGACCAGTTGGAAGCGTACCAGCACTGACTTACGACGTGTAAGAGATGGTAAGGAATCAAGTTTTTAATTCATTTATTTGGTTGTACGTCTAATTCTATGTACAGTCGAAAATGGTGTGACGAGAAAGTCAAAGATAACAGAAAAAAGGTACAAGAGACCTGAATAATGTACCGTACACATTGACACGGGGTCACAGATGGGCGAGAGTAGGTGAACAACATGATGAGGAGCTAACATCTGTTAATGAAGGATGTTACAAGTACTGAAGTACTACATTATTAGGACAGATATCAGTGTATGCTTTATAATAACACCATTAATACCATTGTTACAAATCTAATAAGTAACCATTGTAAGTGTGTACTTTAGCATAAGCAACGTAATCGGTCAGTATGAATATCTAATTTCTCGGTAACGACAGTAACCCAATCTTCGTTGAAAATCACCATCTACCCACAATCGCTTATTTCTATTTTTATATCATGAATTTGTAGACATCAATCAGAAGGCGACTTTTCATGTCACGTGGTCTGTTTTGCATTTAAGTTCAATTTCACTTCCTTGTTCGCATTTTATTCCATGAGCAGCCCGTAAATAGAATGACGATTTTAGGTTCCCAAATTCTGACCCTATTCGGGTGTCTGTTCAGCCTATCTTTCCTCTTAGTGCCCACGGAGGCTTGGACGGGGTAAGTGTGCCTTTCTTACTTTCTCTTTTGATACTTAAGCCAATGTGATAAACAGTTTCAGAATTATATTATCATGCAATCAATAAGTCACTGTGAGTGCTAACTATTGGCCATAATTCAACCATTACTGGCTATTAATATCTTTCCATTAAACCCCATTGAAATTGATACATTTTGACAAAGGGGATCTGTTTTACCGTGAATCACTTGTATGCGTCAACGATTATGTGAAATAACCCAGATTCATACCAAACGTTCCGCTACACGTTCTTTCGGTGGACGATTTTGTATGCTTCTTACGACGCATAACACATTACATTCAGACAGTGCACAGCGAATGTGTATACAATATGTATTATATATTGAGTTAAACGGCACACTTCTTCACGGCAAATCTACTTCACGAATTACACATATATTCCAGGTCGTTACTGGCAACAATTTTGATATAAAATCGCTTGTAATGATACAAATTAGTCCCTGCAATGGTATGTCAATGTTCGATTTTCCTTGAGAGTATAACACACCTTACAGTTTAGAAATATAATACGCAAAGTACTAAAACATTTTGATAACTAAATTTTCTTTTTGTTTACTGTTTCTTTTCATCGACGTCATGGTTTACAAGATGGGAAAAAGAAAAAAGGTCAATGTAATTATAGATCACATGATGCAAGGCTGTGTGGTTCTTCCTCATTTCTAAAATTCCTTTGGATGTGTATACACGTCTCCAAAACACTGACGTTCGTCGTTGAGACAACTCCTAGAGATAGACTAGTCAATGAAGGGCTGTAACCTTAGTCGAGGTATCAACATACACATCGCTAGAGCATGACTTTTTTCTACATGTTGAATAATTCTAATGCCAAAGGAAAATTACCGTTGATGATATGTCAAACTACATCTAAATACTATATCAGTTAAAAATTATTGAGTGAAATATATTTATCATAACAGAAGACGATACGAGATATTCTGTTTAATACATTTTCACAAACAATATAGCCAAATTACTGGCATGTTGGGAATAAATTCAAACGATGAGGATAACTAGGCTTTTCGGGACACTACTTACTCATTATAATTTCGCAGTACGTGACAAAATATAGTCCTTATTTAATCATGAAAAATATGTAAACACAAGATACAGTTCATTGTAAAATTATTTTCATATTCATGTAGAAAAACGTGTTATGTATTCATGTCACTAAGAGACAAAATTTGCTGTAAAACATTCAAGGAGAACTTAACATCTGACAAGTTACTACGCGGCTGAAAATGTGATTTCTGATAAGGTAATTAGCGTTGTATTGTTTTCTGACTTTCATGAAATTGAAAGTTTACCATGGAATTGAAGGTCGTGTCACAAGTAGACAACTCCTTCTGGTTTCTGATTTTGAGGGATTTTTTGTACCGGCCTGTATGATTTGTCAATGTTATCGGATGGTTTGTGTTCTCTCTTTTCATCGGCGTAAGTCTGCAAAAGTGTAATTTTTCACTAGAAAAATAATAGAAAAGTCTTATTTTTCACGAGTGAAAAATAACAATTTTCACTGGCAAAAATGATATTGATATTTTTTTCAAGGCGTTTGAACCAGTTGTTTCTCGTAGTGTAGAAAACAATAGAGACGAATGTATGAGAGATGTACATATATGAGGCGAAATTAGTTTACTGTTACTATTCTGCATAGTACACACCTCTCACAATGGAAAAGTGTGGATTATAAATCACTCGTTAACACAATACACTACACACATAATCCCTTTTCATGAGTAATCACGATTATAAGACCATGGAAGGGGTTGTGTGCAGTGAACTGTGGTAACACACCAGTAGGAATAGGAGAGATAATCACTTTATAATAATTAAGACATTAATACATTTAGAAAATATTCATTTTAATGACGCTCTATAAACATGTACTTTCAAAACAATACCGTTATACTGTCTTAATTTTCGCATATTTCAAATATCTGGCATTGAATATAAGACTGCCACCTCCATTTTTGTGGAAAACTATGTATGCCTAGGAGTTGTTCATCAAATGTCACATACAAACATGTCATTCCTTGCACGATACACAAAAAGTAAATACTTGAATAATTGAGAGGGGAAAGCAGGTGTAAAAATGGCATAAGTACCTACACATCTGATTTACAAATCACCTTAATTGGGAAACAATCCTTGTGTCCATTACAATAGATAAAGACAGACTGATTTAAATTCTGAGCCAAGAGTTTCTAGTACAGAAAAAATAGTCATTCAAGTACAGGTAAATAACACAGAAAACAGTGGAGAGCTAGGTTACATCGCTGACAAGGTGCGGGGGTTGTTTTTCGCCCTCTATTTTTGATAGAGGTAAGAAGTATGTAGTAAGTCAGTTATTGCTTGCTTTCTCGTCACGCGTGACTTCTGACATTGAACCCTTGCTGTCTGAAAACTACACAATAACCTATACATATGGAACTTTACTGTTCAAAAAAGGGTTCTACCGCTGACAGACTTTATTGTAGATCAGTCAAACGTGACCAACAGCTTACCGCACACAACTACATAGGGATATAAAAGGACACATACAAGTACACACCTTATTATAACACCTGACACTGTTCCATAACCCAGTATGGCAGATATTAATGCTCAAAAATGTATGAGTGAACAAACAATATTGTGTTGAATTTGTTAATATACAGGAAAACGTCGTTATTTCGAAATCGGCGGGGCCATTGGAAAACTTCGAGTTATCCGAGTAAACGATTTAAATGAGATCTAATGTTTGGGGAAAAGCTTGGAACCGACGGACAACTTCGAATTAAACAGGGTGTCCTAGTTTTGCGAGTTCGAGAAAACGAAGTCCGACTGTAATATATTATGTATGAGTGTAATTTGTAAGATGTTTTAACAAAGCATTTACCACAGATAGAAATTTGAGAGGATACAATGTTTTTTGTTTCTATAACACGATTTTCTTATAATATATCTATATCTACATGTATGGAGCATATAGCTACTGAAACATTCTTAAGTGAGATCTGTAAACACGGAACATATACCTACTGAAACATTCTTAAGTGAGATCTGTAAACACGGAACATATAGCTACTAAACATTCTTAAGTGAGATCTGTAAACACGGAACATATAGCTACTGAAACATTCTTAAATGAGATCTGTAAACACGGAACATATAGCTACTGAAACATTCTTAAATGTAGACAAAAACCATTTCAGAACCTACATTCTCTTACGTCATAAAATTACATAATACACAAAGCTTTATGAAATATAAACTTGATATAATTACAATCACATGTTCTCACAATGAACACTGTTATGGTACAAGCCTGCCAAAAGAAAGAAATCTAGGATGGGTAATTCCAGTGTCATAAGGAAGAAATTGAATCGACATTTTTGTTTAAGTAACTCATTAATTAGCCGTTATTGCAACACGCAGGTTTTTATGTGTTCGATAAGGTAATTTAATTGTTCTTGGACAAGATCAACATACAGATATAGTAAGTACTGTTTAAAACAATATAGTACACTAAATCATGGGCTGCATATTGTATTAAGAAATTATAAAAAAGGATATTTTCGTTTTGTGATTTTATAAAAATATCTTTCCAGTTTTTACACACAAATAGTCTTCCAGACCTTTTCGGCGTATATCGAGAAATCGGTTAAAGAAACATTCCAGAAACCTTTACATAATACAAAATATTTTTTTCTTCATATAGGTAAGTAACAAGGTTAATTATCTCAAATTCTCCCTCTACTTAAATAACGTTGATACTGTTCCTGGTGGTACTCAGGATGCTGCTATGGGCTGTGGAACGGATGATGGAAAGTCGAAACATTACATCTATTTTGAGCCGGCTGTACACACATAAAAATGACCGACACGCTTTTTCTTATTGGCGTTCAAAAGTTTCCGTTGCGTTTAACATCAGTGACAAACTTACAGAAATGAGATTGTCATGTCTTGTCCAGTACTTTAATGAAGTGATTAACTTTCCGAAATATTTTTGTTAAGGTTGCCTCTACTGTTCTATTATGTGTGATTGCTTACGTCACCATCGGTAAATGTCTGTGCGTACTTCCCCTTGGGTGAGAACATTACATCTATCGTTGGTATTCCCGTATCACTTCAAATTATTTATCACCCAATTTTACTTCCTCTTCTTTTCATATCTTTGAATTGAAACGAGGCTTTATTCTGGGCCCGTAATCATGAAACCTTTCTCATGCTCAAGCATGAATTTTGTGCTTAAGCCTTATGTCTTGTTTAAGTTGAAAATTAATAAATAAGACTGATTTTGCCAAAGATTTAAAATAAATTTTGAAAGGACTTCAAATCAAAGTTAAATTCAATGTTTATATTTGACATTTGTATTATTTTACATGATTTAGGCGAATTATAGAAAAAAAGTCTGCTTGAGCACAAAATCTATGCTTGAGCATGAGAATGGTTTCCTGAATACGGGCCCTGATTTGGCGTTACAAAGTCTTTACATAGTAAATCCTTCCTTAAGTAACAGAGCAAGATCTCGTTACCTGAGGCACGCGTCGTCCAATAACGTCCTAGACATGCTCAATCGGTGACAAATCAGGTGATTTAGATGGCCAATCTAACACCTGCAAGAAAGTTCTGCTGACGCGACTGGTGTGCGCTGGTGCGTTATCTTGTTGAAAAATGGCGCCAACCCTATGGCGTCTTAAGAATGGCAGAACCACTGGTCTTAAGATTTCGTCCCGATATCGAATGCCGGTTAAATTGCCATTTAACACAACAAGCCTGGTGCGAGACCCCCATAAATACCACCCCAAACCATTACACTTCCGCCGCCAAAGCGGTCCCGTTCTGCGACGCAGCAGTTCGCAAAACGCTCCCCTCGTCACCTCCACACTTTGCGCCTTCCGTTACCGTGTTGTTACGGTGACGTCGCAACAACTTGGGTCCAGTGTAGGGACGCCGCGCTTTCAATTGGTAGGCCCTCAACCTGTTGCGGACTGTTTGGGGAGACACACGACGCCCAAACAATGTCCTTGTAGTCTCTACTGCGGTTACAAATCAATTGCGCAAGTGTATCAATCGTATACGACGGTCGTTTTACGGGGTTGGCCGCTTCGGGGACGATCGGATGTTGACCCAGTTTGGTTTAAACGACCTACCAACTGGCAAATTGTCTTAACACTTCAACCAAAATGCCGTGCAACTCGACGGTGAGACTTCCCAGCCAGAGCATAATGATAAAGTTGATAGATAGCAAGATTCGGTGATTTCTAAGTCCAAAGGATCTAAGGAACAGTTGTCAGTTTGAATGTTTATGAAATTCAAGCGAAGATACAAGTTAGTCGCAGAAAACCTCGTGCAGCTCTTTCGCTAATACAGACTTTCACGCTTGAATGATTTTGGTAACCCCCTTGGATTTTGTAATGTAAAACATTACCATTTTCTAATATTGCACAAACGTCATTTTGTTTTCACTCAATTACAGGTATTCGCCAAGGAAACATGTTAACCTTTCTTTTTTTGTTGAGTATATACTGATTATATACTGGTTCATAGTAATAGCATTGGTCTGGACTTTAATCTGTAATTGAATCCCAGTCAAGAACTAAAATCTGCTCCCTGAAAAACCAGTACGAAGAATAGGAGAATCTATTGTAGTGTATAGGCGGGGAAGTGTACCCGGTATACCTTACTAGAGAAACGCGCATGACCTACACTTACAAAACACATCGCTTTGTATAATCCACACCACACTCGCTGATTTTTATTTAACGTTGTCCATATATATATACGCCTACTGATTTGCTGTTATGTTTGGAATTCACAGCACCATTTTCACAGACCAGGAAGTTCAAACTAACTAGGCATTTTCTGTACATTTTGAACTTCTCACGAGAATAACTTTGATGTAGATTAGGTATGTTCATTATAATATACCATAAAAGACATTTGATTTAATATTTAAGATTTTTTTATATCACACATTCTTTGTTTTTGTCAACTCCATTAACCTCGACATAATCTCTATATCAAACTGAAAAAGCGATAAAACGATAAAAATGGCAAAACAACAAAGCAAAACGAAATATGAACAGAACAAATCTACAAACAAACCGGCGGGGTAGGGTGAAAAATAATGTTTTCGATAAACTGATGCTCTCTTCGTCAATATTGATAAAGGAACATGGTTACCTTATTGGTACATACACATGTCTTTCACCAGACAGCAAACCTCTTGTGATCTAAATAAAAGAATTTGAATACGGTAAGATACTTGTTGAGTTATGCCTACTCACTGAGACTGCTCGGACTTCACACAACAAACCAGGAAGTTCACGTCAGTACATCACCGCTAATTTCTTCTTGCTTAAATTTATGAAGGAATTTGGAATATAAAAATACTTTTGAATGATTTTGGCAACATTCTTTTGGAATTTCCAATAAAATTTTTTAACTTCGATTTAAATCAGATAGCAGTGGTGGTGATCAATAGAGCATTTTCTCTAATGATTTTTTTTCATAGAAACAAAGTTAAGAATGAGGTCACTATCTTAATTTAAGTAATATTGTCATAACTGCAGTATCTTTGCCTTTCAATGACTTCAGGAAAGTCTTAGGAATGACTGTCGTTTGGTCATCTGTTTGGTAAGAAAATAGTAACATTCAACCACTAATATTTCACGTGAGATTAAGGACTCCAACAGTACATGCCTGCCTCCTCCCCAGAGTCCACAGATACGGGCTTAAAATACGCTTTGACCGTCTAAACATTATTGTCTCGCGTAAGGATTCAAAGATTGCATTTTATATACACAGATTTTAAAAAAGTCATTCTTTGGTCGTTAGACACTCGAGACATAGTCCATTCTCCTTAAATTACTAAATATTAGATAAGTAGTACATTATCAAACATAAGAATTCTGATTATTCTCTTAATTCCAATATAAGAATATTTAAATAGACTAATAAGCATAAAGATAATATAGGGACGATAACTGATTAGAATAGTTCTAACATCAGTACACCTGTCTAACTTCTTCCAAGTCTCCTGTAAATTCACTTTCAATTTGCTTCTTGATAGGGCTTGTCAATAGTATGATAAACATTGTTTTCAGTAGTATGATATACATTGTTGTCAACATTATGATATACATTGTTGTCAACAGTATAATATACATTGTTGTCAACATTATGATATACATTGTTGTCAGTATTATGATATACATTGTTGTCAGTAGCATGATATACATTTTTGTCAACATTATGATATACATTGCTGTAAACATTACGATATACCTTGTTGTAAGTAGTATGATATACATTGTTGTCAGTAGCATGATATACATTTTTGTCAGTATTATGATATACATTGTTGTCAACAGTATGATGTACATTGTTGTCAGTAGTATGATATGTATTGTTGTCATTCTGAATACGATGTAGTGATCAGTGTTGTGAATATATTTTAGTGATCTGTATTGTTAATATGATGTTGTAATCATCCTTGGATTTCCTAAGTACAACTAAATCAAAGATACAAGAAAGTACAAAATACAAATAAAGAACTGATTCATTTGCTGAGGGAAGGGAAACAACTCAAACGATCAGCTCAAGATCTAAATCATTAACTAAAATAGATGAGTACAGTACCAGAGAACAATATATAGTTACTTACCGATGGTGTTCTTGAACAAGGTATGTACAAATAACTTTATACGTCTGTGCCTGCCTATCACTATCATACGACAAAAAAAAATCAAAAACAAACAAACTAGCAGGAAAACTAGAACTATATTAACTAAAACACGTGTTTCAAAAACTGATTTCTTTCTTTCCAAATAAGTGAAACATCTTTTACAACTATTGTTTAATTCTTCAATCGAGACATAGGGGATATAGTAATAAGTATCAAACATCAAAATTATTCATCAATTATCTATTACTATAGATAAGATTATGTTGACAACTATTTTCATTATCTTCACAATTTGCCTTCACGATGTTTTACACACTGATTTAGAATTAGATGCAGAAGAACAGAATAATTAACTAACTTTGATCATACAGTTTGTCTCACTTATAAGACTCCTATTGGAGTGTTTGGTGGAATATAATTCATGCTTTTGTGTCTTTCAGGAGAGTTTGCAGCAGGGTTGTGAAAGCTTATCGTTACCAGAGATATTGCTCTTACAGTACATGGCTTGGGTAAGCTTTTGTTTCTCAAGAGATGAAAAGAAACGCAATGCAAACTGGCATTCAACTAAGAATTTGATTTGACACATTATATGACTAGGAACCTGGTACCAGGGTGTAAGTTTGCTAGGAATTCTATTTTATCTAACAATGCTTTCCTACAAACTGTCGCATAATGCCAACAATGAATATAACATTGTCCAGTGTTGTTATTTTTCCGTTACTACGGAAGTTAAATAAGTGGTTATCATAACTGTATCCACTTAAGACAGAGAAAATAGGGTGTACCAATGATGTCATTGGATCCATTTTCAAAACCTATTGAATATGTATCACTATTCTTTCATGTGCAGATGTTGTAGATACAGTTCCAGAAGAGTAAGCTATTACTATACACAAAGCTATTGTTGCTCAGGATATCAGGAAACTAGTCCTGGCAATCGAAATTGCAACAAACGTAAGTACTTTGTAAACTGAATTAAAGTAAACTACATAATAAGAATTCATTGTAGCAATAACAGTCTTACTTTATTGTTGTTTTAGATAGGATTACCAAGGTAACTATATTAAATTTGCATAAATTAGGACAATATGAATATTTTGTCAATGCTGCATTTTCGCCTGTCAGCTATGGATTCCAATATAGGTTCTACATTTGATATTAAATCTCAATTGTTTGCTTTTTTGCTTCTAAGAGAAACGCTTTGCAAATATTTGACAAAATTGACTGATTATTAAAATTCATGTCTATGTCATTCAAATGTCCATGACAAGTATGAATGGAAAGACAAACAAATGATTCACAATTCACAATATCAGAGAAGTATTCAAATAACGAAAAATAGGCATTCTGTATTTGTTTAATGATTTTGTAGTCAATGAATGAGGGCCAATGATGGTGCAAAGCATACGTAGTTCTTTGATACTTTTTGCATACGAAACACAGTTAGTAGGTTCTAGAGACTATGAAGTACGTTATGAGATGAAATCTATGTTCACCTTTACAAATTTCAGCTCTGTGTAGGCCTTACCATATCAATGCTCACCTTTACAAATTTCAGCTGTGTTTAGGCCTTACTGTTTCAATGCCCACCTTCATAAATTTCAGCTGTGTGTATGCCTTACCGTATCAATATTCACCTTTACAAATTTCAGCTGTGTGCAGGCCTTACTGTTTCAATGTTCACCTTTACAAATTTCAGCTGTGTGCAGGCCTTACTGTTTCAATGTTCACCTTTACAAATTTCAGCTGTGTGCAGGCCTTACTGTTTCAATGTTCACCTTTACAAATTTCAGCTGTGTGCAGGCCTTACTGTTTCAATGTTCACCTTTACAAATTTCAGCTGTGTGCAGGCCTTACTGTTTCAATGGAGGGACATGCATTAGACCTGACGAATGTGACTGTCCAGACGGTTTTACGGGGCGGCTTTGTGGAGACAGTACGTTATCTATATACTGTTTTCTATCAAACAACCAATCTTTCTTTACATAATATCAAAAGTTTACTTTATTTACAGCTGACAATTTATATAAATACTGTAAACATATTGTTCCACTTAAACGTTTAAAACAAAAATTTACCTTCTCAGGTCAATTTGTAAAATCAAACACATCAGTCCTTTATTCTGTACATGTAACTGAAATTAACGTCTTAACTTAACACTAAACGATGTCGTAGAGTATCTAATGCTTCGTTGTAACGGCAAAAATATCTTGACTTTCATCTTTTGAACCCTCGCTTCTGAATGATTGATATTTTCCATGAAATATGTATAAATAATGACCACTGGTTATTCTGTCATAAAATATGAAAATACCAACAATTCATTTCAGCGGCATGCGCTTCACACAAACAGCCATGTTACCCTGGATGGTGCGAAAGCAATAATTGCAAGTGCTTCAATGCATTTACAGGCACAGGCTGTAAAGAAGGTAACAGACAATTTACCCATAGCGCTCACGTGTAAACAATTTCATAAGCTACGTATTTATATGGGCATTGACACAAGTAAAACATACATTTGTATGGCCATCACATCTGAAGGTTTAGTAATATTTCTACTTTGAACCTAATACTAGCAAACTTCTAACATGGGTCTGTTTCTAAAATCATTATGATTAAAGTATGAAGGAAAAACGGTAAATAGCATGCATAATTGATGACGGATAAAAATTAAATCACAATTTTTTTTATTAATTTTGCTGCAGTGATTTCGTCGAATTATAAACCAATCATCGACAGCTGCCAGACAGCCTTCTCATTCTATGACCGTGCAAAAGGCATGCAGATGTATGAGCACAAAGTTGATGCGACCGGAAAGAATGAAACAGAAATAATTTGGAGCAATCAAAACTCGTACAACATCATCAACATGACGTTTGAAGCGTCCTTTGATTGGCAAACGGAGAGGGAAAGCCTTCCCATGACGCCAGATTATATTGGTGACCTCAAAATTGGTGTTGTCAGCGCCATGGTGGATACAATTTACACCAGGTTACCGATACCAGGTAAATGACATCTAGATACATTTCAAATGTCAAAATTTTTGTACAGGAGACACAAGTGATAGCGCCTTTCAACAGAAAAGAAAAATAATGACGAACAATGCATAAACTGCTGGTTAAGCGGAATAAAGACCAGTTTCATGTTTACCAACAACTATTGTCAATTTAAAAATCAAAACTGTAATCGTTGACAGTGGTTTCTTATACACCTCACGACAGTTTTATCTGTATTGTTTGCTAATTTCGCCTTATACCGATCAATAACACACCAGATATGTGATCCGAATCACATACTGCCTTAACAAGATATACATTTGACGTTATCTTTATTCATTTAGAAAGGTACTATACAATTTAGTGTCATTGTTTCAATTTTCATATCAAATCTCTAGTTGACACACGAAACAGTAACCAGTATATGCTCCGGACATTTGAACGCTGTGTTCATGAATTTATAATATACTGTTAGAGGTCAAGTAAAGGTGACATTGACCTCATATCAGCACGCGAGACATTGAATTCTGATAGTGTAACTATTAAATAACATCACTCATTTACGTCTGAACTAAACAAAGCATCACCTGATCTGAATGTGGCCTAGTAAGATACTAAGAGCATATCAGTCATGATATATGACAGATAGCAAATCTATCATATCGTCAACGATTTAAATCAGTTTTATCAAAGCAATATTTTCTGATATTTCATTTTTGTGACGATAAAGTACCAAATATTTTTAGTTCGCCATATTTTTGTTATTTACTTTTTACAGACGCAAAGAACTTCATGATTCACACTGATATTTTTTATACTCTATTTTTACAATTTTTTATTCCCAAAATATTTTTAGTATTTCCTTTATTTTAATTATAGCATTGAATATTTTCATAGTTCATAAAACATTTTCTAATATTTTCTTTTACAATAACTAAATACCTCATATTTTTTATAGTTCACTACAACATTTTTTGTATTTTAGTTCAGTACACCAATTTTGTATTTAAAGTTCAGTACAACATTTTTGTATTTACAGTTCAGTACAACATTTTTGTATTTACAGTTCAGTACAACATTTTTTGTATTTACAGTTCAGTACAGCATTTTTTATATGTATAGATCACTACAACATTTTTTGTATTTATAGTTCAGTACAACATTTTTTGTATTTACAGTTCAGTACAACATTTTTTTGTATTTACAGTACAGTACAACATTTTTTATATGTATAGATCACTACAACATTTTTTGTATTTATAGTTCAGTACAACATTTTTTGTATTTACAGTTCAGTACAACATTTTTTTGTATTTACAGTTCAGTACAGCATTTTTTATATGTATAGATCACTACAACATTTTTTGTATTTATAGTTCAGTACAACATTTTTTGTATTTACAGTTCAGTACAACATTTTTTTGTATTTACAGTTCAGTACAACATTTTTTGTATTTACAGTTCAGTACAACATTTTTTGTATGTATAGATCACTACAACAATTTTTGTATTCACAGTTCAGTACAACATTTTTGTATTTACAGTTCAGTACAACATTTTTTGTATTTACAGTTCAGTACAGCATTTTTTATATGTATAGATCACTACAACATTTTTTGTATTTATAGTTCAGTACAACATTTTTTGTATTTACAGTTCAGTACAACATTTTTTTGTATTTACAGTTCAGTACAACATTTTTTGTATTTACAGTTCAGTACAACATTTTTTGTATGTATAGATCACTACAACAATTTTTGTATTCACAGTTCACTACAACATTTTTTATATGTATAGATCACTACAACATTTTTTGTATTTACAGTTCAGTACAACATTTTTTGTATTTACAGTTCAGTACAACATTTTTTGTATTTATAGTTCAGTACAACATTTTTTGTATTTACAGTTCAGTACAACATTTTTTGTATTTACAGTTCAGTACAACATTTTTTATATGTATAGATCACTACAACATTTTTTGTATTTACAGTTATGTACAACATTTTTTGTATTTACAGTTCAGTACAACATTTTTTATATGTATAGATCACTACAACATTTTTTGTATTTACAGTTCAGTACAACATTTTTTGTATTTACAGTTCAGTACAACATTTTTTATATGTATAGATCACTACAACATTTTTTGTATTTACAGTTCAGTACAACATTTTTTGTATTTACAGTTCAGTACAACATTTTTTGTATGTATAGATCACTACAACATTTTTTGTATTTATAGTTCAGTACAACATTTTTTGTATTTACAGTTCAGTACAACAATTTTTGTATTCACAGTTCACTACAACATTTTTTGTATGTATAGATCACTACAACATTTTTTGTATTTACAGTTCAGTACAACATTTTTTGTATTTACAGTTCAGTACAACATTTTTTGTATTTATAGTTCAGTACAACATTTTTTGTATTTACAGTTCAGTACAGCATTTTTTATATGTATAGATCACTACAACATTTTTTGTATTTATAGTTCAGTACAACATTTTTTGTATTTACAGTTCAGTACAGCATTTTTTATATGTATAGATCACTACAACATTTTTTGTATTTACAGTTCAGTACAACATTTTTTTGTATTTACAGTTCAGTACAACATTTTTTATATGTATAGTTCAGTACAACATTTTTTGTATTTACAGTTCAGTACAACATTTTTTGTATTTACAGTTCAGTACAGCATTTTTTATATGTATAGATCACTACAACATTTTTTGTATTTATAGTTCAGTACAACATTTTTTGTATTTACAGTTCAGTACAGCATTTTTTATATGTATAGATCACTACAACATTTTTTGTATTTACACAGTACAACATTTTTTGTATTTACAGTTCAGTACAACATCACTACAACATTTTTTGTATTTATAGTTCAGTACAACATTTTTTGTATTTACAGTTCAGTACAACAAGTTCAGTACAGCATTTTTTGTATGTATAGATCACTACAACATTTTTTGTATGTATAGATCACTACAACATTTTTTGTATTCACAGTTCACTACAACATTTTTTGTATTTATAGTTCAGTACAACATTTTTTGTATTGACAGTTCAGTACAACATTTTTTGTATTTACAGTTCAGTACAACATTTTTGTATTTACAGTTCAGTACAACATTTTTTGTATGTATAGATCACTACAACATTTTTTTTTGTACAACATTTTTTTATTTCCTTTTAACAATTATTAAGTTCTTACTATTGCTTATGGTTCACTTCTGATGTTTTAGTTTTACGATGAGAAAGTACTTTTTTCTTAATTCACTCTGTTTTTAGATATTTTATTTTCAGTGAGAAAGTCCATTGTAACATCTTTTTCAATGATAAAGTACTTTTTTGATACTTCACCTCATGGTTTATGTAATAAAAATTGACGCAATACAATAAGTGATCGTAACAATTTGTTTTTAGGTACAACTGGGAGAGAGGTTGTGTCTAGTCAGACGAAAACTTACAGATGCGAAGGGCTATCTCAGAGTGACCCTGTCACAATCAATGAACTAAAATGTCGGTTGAACGAAGAAAGCTTTCAACTAGCAATACGCTCAGGAGACTGGTATGTTCAGTAGATATTAATGACGTCATTAATTCAAGAGTAAAAGTACACACAAAACGCTTACATCATTCACGTGTTTCTATTTTTATGAAAAATTGTATTGTATGCTAAGATTATCTATTACACTAAAATACATTTTGTAAAAGTGCTAGTAAATATTTATAAATACAGGTTTACGTTCACATTTTCTGCTAAGACGGGAGGATTTAGAAATCTTATCGATACAAACAACAATCAGCCATTCCAAACAGAGTACTATACAGGAAATGTACAAACGGTCAAAGTGATGCAGTTCCGGTTTGATTTTGAGGTTCCTGAACATTGCAATTTAACTTGCCCGACAAAGTCAGTTTTGAAGGTCGTAGAAGATATAACTAAGGTAGGTAGACACTTGGCGTTTCCATGTTAATCGATTAATTTGCCTTGGATTTAGACACAGATTTAGTTTTGTATCTCTTCCGTTATCTTGTCCTCGTGGCGAGGGGACAGTACGAACTTACGTATGTTCACTTATTGTCACCACTCTCACAACTTCATTTCTCAACCGATTTTTTATTCAACTCAACATATTGCTCAAGTATCATAACACCTTGAACGAGTTTGTGTTTCAGCATGTCAGGGTCAATGTTAAAATCATTGTTTAGGTCATCGTTACTATTTATAGAAAATCATTCTCATCGCTTTAGCCACTTCATTTCTCAACCGATTTTTATAAAGCTTCACATCTTGGTCAAGTATCATAACACCGTGAACGAGTTCGTGTTTCAGATTGCAAGGGTTAACGTAAAGGTCAACGTTACTATTTATAGTAAATCTTCCAACACAACTTCATTATGAATGGGAGCGAGAGAGTCTGTATCGTTTGTGATGCCTTTTTATTTCTGTCTTCACTTTTGTGATTATCTCGATTTTATACATTGAACAAAATAACGTGACTAAATCATATAACTTTTTATGATGGTAAACATTATACTAATGCTATCTTTAACAGCCTTTTTATAATATGATGCATTAAATTGTTGGGTGAATTAAAGGTCAAGTGAATTCTTGTTTCCAGACACCTATCAATGTACGCTGGTCCGGTTGGTCCGACATCATTAGCGGGGTTGCTGATTACACGTTGGAAATATTTAAGTTGCAGCCAAATCGATTCTCAAACATTCTGGAGGAGCCTGATCCTCTTGGACCTAATGCAATATTTAGAATCAACCATACCACGTCCGATTTTGAGTACATTAAAACGTATACACCCTCTGAACCAGGGATGTACAGTCTGATTTTGGAGATAAGAGATCGCGCTAATAACACCGTCTATATCCGGAGATTTGCTTTGTATGACCCTGTGTCAGAGATCACAATCAGCAGTGACCATAAACTTACTGTGACATCTGCGGAAGCAGACACTGGATATATATGGCAGTCGATCTTTGGTAACTCTGCTAATGGCGGCACAACTATAGACGTAACATGGAAGAATTTCTTCCTAAACAAATTGCATGATGAAAACCACCTTCTCAACTCAATCAGCCCTTATCCTAATCAACTGGATGACGGAGGACGACGCGGAGAAGGCTACAAAAGGATATATCCCGAGTTCGATGACAACGAAGGAGAAAGAACAACGGGGGAGATTCCCAACACCAGAGGTATTGTCCGCTTCGACATCGTATCTGACTATGACAGCAATGGTGGATCTTCGCTTGAAAATCCTCCAGATAAATGGCGTTCATTGCCTGGCATTCTAGACGGCGACACAGAATCGTTTAATGCCAATGCTATAAGCGATGGGAGTACCGCAAAAGTATGGGTACGAGCCCATGACGCGATGGGTAATTCTAGGACGGAATCAACATTAGTTCACTTTGACATGTCTGAACCAGAGATCATCGATGGGCCTGTAATTCAAACTAACATTGAAAATGGAAATTTTCCATTTTCTAGCCGGTAAGCTATGTTATAGATAAGTATATATTCTAGAAGTCAATGCCGACTTACATACTTTGTAAATCTTATATCAAAACGAATGTGAGAGTCTGTTTATCATGTATTGTGAATTCTCTCTTAACAATCCATAAAGCAATCTTTCTTTCCTGAGGTCCATTTTCTTAAATTCTTTGGTTGCAAACTGAATAACATAAATAATAAAAACCAAGCATCCTTGTTAAAGCTTAAAAAGTACATTTAGTAAACAAAATGTGAATTTGAGTATTACACTTTTACAGTATCAAGGTAGAATGCCGGGACATACACAGTGGTGTGTACAAAATACACTGGAAGCTACGAATGGCCAACAACAGATCTTTTGTGAAAATGGAGGGAGATGCAATAAATCCGTTGGTGAGTCACATCCTCATTACTTATTTATCTATGTACACCAGATACACTCAGCATGGTTATTAAACATGAACAACTAGTCAAACTCTTACTTGTCCTCTCGGTTATATTAGCTACATATTTCATAAATGTTATTAGTTTCAATTACTTGTAGTCGTGAATAATTAAGTTCCTTCAATCATTTCCAATGCTTAGAAAATACCGTTTGCTTATAAACGCCTTTCAGTCATACGAGAGTGTTTACATTCTAGATCAACAGATTCGAGATAATAAAAACAGTCCGACATTTTTCTATTTGAAATGGTAAAGGCAGTCTGACATTAGTTGGTTAGAGAAAAAAAGATAATATGACATTATGATCACTATTTCTTACAGCAAACCAGCAACTGTGCATCTGACTGCTATCGGACCTTCATCAATGAGTGGTACAACCGCTCTATAGAGTTCGACATTAACCACTGCTGGATGAGGATTCCAAAGGAAAATCTAGATACCCAAGTCATGGAGCTCCACATGGCTGTATTAAACTCTGCGATGCTTTCTATCACAAGGGTCTTGAAAGTATGTCTTGAATATCTGTCTTCGTATACCCGTATATTTGTTGAGAATATATACTGCAATCACTTATATATCTGTAATCCATGCCTACATAGAAAACTAGAGGCAATCATAAGGAACTGATATCTAAGTTATTTTTTTCAGAAGGCTATCATTTTGAAGGTATACTTAAGACATAATTTAATCTTTCGTTTTCGGGAAAAAGAAGATCCTTTATATTCCTTATATTACATGTTTAAATACGTGTCCACTTAATCAGAAGATAAAGATAATATGGGAATCTCTTCAACATCTCCGTATTGTTGTGATTAGGTATCAATCACATAATGCTACGTACGTTCCCTATTTACTTGTATGGGAATATCTTCAACATCTCCGTATTGCTGTAATTAGGTATCAATCACATAATGCTACGTACGTTCCCTATATATGATATGGGAATCTCTTCAACATCTCCGTATTGCTGTGATTAGGTATCAATCACATAATGCTACGTACGTTCCCTATATATAATATGGGAATCTCTTCAACATCTCCGTATTGTTGTGATTAGGTATCAATCACATAATGCTACGTACGTTCCCTATATATAATATGGGGATCTCTTCAACATCTCCGTATTGCTGTGATTAGGTATCAATCACATAATGCTACGTACGTTCCCTATTTACTTGTTTCAGATTGACAACATAAGAAGTTACCGCGGTATTGAAGATTGTAAGTATTTGTGTATTAAACTAGTGTTTCGGTAAAATAATAATCAAACTAGTTGAGAAACTGGATGTTTACAAACCTTATTAATAAAAACAGTCTTGCTTTTTGTCCACTTAGGACGTATAAACGGTTTTCACGGCAAAAGCCAAAGACAAATCAAAGAAATAATGTGAACGGGGGAATTCACATCACTCGAAATCAATCTAGAATAAAGACACAAAAAAGCAATAAATCACAAAATCATGGCGAACCTCAGATGTACAGATACAGATAAAAAGATAAACAAATAGCCTATTAAGTTAAAGGTTTAAAGACATGAGCGCCATTAGCGATGGTGCAGGGTATTCTCCAAGTAGTCAAATGAAACTTGTCTAGCATCTACATTCAAGTACGTCGCATGTTAATCGTGTATTCTAGCAGGTGCTACGTTTAGTGTAGTATCACTTACGATTTTTACAGGGGAATGCAAAATATAAAATAGCACTTAAATATTTACTTGAATTATACACTGATAATTAAAACGTCGCATAAACATGAGATCTGTAGAAACAAACATTGACCTAGCCTATATCAACAGTATCAACACAATTTATCACTCTTAACACAATTAAATACTTTTTGATAATTTACAATTCAGATTTTGGGCCAATGAATATCAAGATGACCAGACAATCCGAGACCGGCGTCAGTTTATCATGGGACCACGCCCCTTCTTGTTATGCACGTGACACAATTCTAGTTGTCGTGGTTATGCCTGACAATAGCACTAAAACCTTAAGAGCGGATAAAGATACCGATCGCTTCGATATCACGGGACTGGTAGCCCTCACGAAATATCCCATAAAACTTTACACTATCTACGTCACTGATGACGAGACTGGTGAGACGACAACAAGTCAAGAATCATACGTCATTATTGAGACTGCACCAAGTAAGAACCGATTGTCTGTTAAAGTTATGACTTGTTTCACGTTTTGTGTAAAGAATATGTATATAGTCTGTAGGGCAAACACCAGAAACATTTCTATAATATATTATGGTCTAATATTTATATAAAGCAGGTACACAGAGTTACCTAAAGGCTGAGCAAACCCTATCTCGGGATGTCTCCAGGCTGCGTGTAATGGGTAAGACCTCCAGACAGCCAATTATCATGGGCGTAATCTAATTATCATTATCTCTCAACCAGTCCAGCACTGCGCCATGGTCTCCCTGTCTCCACAGCTATTTAATGAACTGTGCACCTTTCACCTGTTTTACATATTTCATTCAAGAGATAGCTCTTATTTACAAGGTAAGGATGTTAAGTATCCAGTCTATAGTCTGAGCTTGGTCACATGACCAATGTCATTTCTCCTCAGATGCAAAATGACACCGGCACCATATGAAACTTTTCAACATTTCAATTAATGATGGCAGTCTGCTGCTATATACCCTATATGGGTCGATCCAACTCCAGCACCTATGGTTAGCTGGCTGCATACATCAACTCTTATACTGCCCAAAGTAAGTCGACCCTCAGGCCCAAATAATGTAACTCCCAACCTTCGCTCACTCCTGGACAGGTGAATAACCGAGATTGGTACCAATCAGCTTCCGGTCAGCCAAAGTTCCAAGTTACGTTCGCCACGGGTTGTTAACCATCGCTTTTCAGCACCATGCTTTTTAGCGGGTTCATAGCTCTCGGCTATATCCCATTAGGTCCAGGGGAGATAACTGATATCGTGACAGGCACCCCTTATATGCAAATCTCGTCAATAAATGTATTTTGACATTGTTTGTTATCAGTTGGGTAAACTTAAATTAATTTCAAATTATTTCATGTCTTTTTTATTAGGTATCTTATGAAAGGTTTCAATATTAATTTGTTCAGAACTTATATCGAAACGATTGGTCTCCCAACTGGAAACACGGCACCGGAGACATCGTTCTAACAAAACTGTCTTACAGTATTCATGGTATGTGACTGTAGAGATAGTTATATGATTTCGGGGATTTCAGTATCGGAGTAAGTCCGTTAGTCAAGCCAGCTGTTGACAACATGATTGACTTCCTTTTGCAAAGTGATACACGTTTTCATTAAAAGTTCCTGTCCCTAATTTCCATACAGGGTATCTGTATTTTTATGTTTTAGTATTGTCCCAAATCAGACACGGCAGAACGGCAGATATTTTACTTCAACGTTCATTTCAAAGAATTGTAGCCAAAACATAGCAATTTGCCGTCATGTTTTGTATTATCATCGACAACGTCATACATGGACAAATCATACCATCATAGCATCAGTTGATTTAAAATAGAAATTAATCCTGTCATTTGATCTCAGAGAGTGATCAGGTCATTAAAAGATGATAATCATAATTATGTTTGTTTTTGGAACCTTCAAAGTATTAGTAACCTACTTCAGTCTCTAATCATGATAATTAAAAGGTAAACAGTCGACTGTTTCCATGTTTACCACAGTATGTGTCATCTTTATGGTATCATTGTATGTTAATTCCTTTTTTAATTAAAAAAATAATCAAAAAAGGCAAAAACCTGAATTTCGATAACTGATGAAGATATCGGGAGGTGTTTGGTTCCAAGCTTTCTACCCGTTTTGTTTCTCTAAGGCTCAGAAGTAGATCGGCCTCTACTGTCGTGAGTGTTTCCTTTGGCAAATCACTTCACCCCAATTATTCTAGATTGCATGCAAATACCGCTACAAGGAGACTCCACCTGTACACGACTCTTGCTATTCAAAGGGTGATAAATCCAACTAACAAACGGAACTCACCTTACCAGACCTGTACATAACTACATCAATACTTTATTTCCTTTTCTAGAACCAACGGACGAAGGCTTACCAGGGGGCGCTATTGCTGGCATTGTGATAGGTAAGCAAACAAATTATTCAGTAACTACGTAAATTGAGAAACCGCGATAAATAATATTGAAATATATTTACCATGCTTTAATAGCTATGAACATATGAACTAAGAAATAAGGTACATGTTATGTTACAATCAATGTTTTCTCACTGATTTAACCAAATGAAAACAATAACTATGGATAACTAGGGTTACCAATCATCTTGAGACTGGCCGTTTGTTGCCAGCAGAATACCAAGTAATCCCCTTTGAATAGAGCATATCGATAAAAACTTTGAAAGTATCGCTCAGTTAGGAATTTAATTCATAGATTCGTTATCACATACATACTTCATATAAATAGCATATAAATATTCAAATATAAAGGTTGAATTCACAGTGAAATGTATCAGAATAACTAATGCTTATACATATCACGGCATAGAAACTGCACTAGTTGTATAAAATCTGTTCATGATTTCAACAACAACAACAATCCATACATACCTTATATCATGTGTTATTCTTTGTTCAGTGATCCTGCTTCTGGTCATTATTGTCATCGGCGTCGTATTATTGTGGAGAACCGGCAGAATAGAGACTTTGTTAGCACGCATCCGGTCCAGACGCGAAACAACGCAGGCCTCACCTGTTGTATTTAGTAGTGAAGAGGGGCGGAAGGGACGCAAAGTCACCGGAGTGAACGTAAGAAGTTAGGCTTTTTGTAAATCCTATGAACTCTTTGACAAGAGGATGGAATCTCTTAATTTCATGCTAAAAAATTGAATATCTGAAAATCATGTACACATTTGTCAAAGGAGCGTCTATTAACATATATGTTTCGAAATCAAGGAACATTTTAAACTTAATGTACGAAACAATTCCATGATAGTTTGGATGTAGGAAGTAAGAACAATCCTCGAATGTGAGTTTCATGACATTATCGTAGATTAAAAGAAAATCGAGTTTAGAATACCGAGGTAAGATTACATGAAGTACAAAGTATTCAGAAAAATGAATAAAATTAAAATATGTACGTGTATATTTTTAAGTTGATAGCGTAATCATATTGATCTATTGATACAAATGTCAATAAATTCGAAAATTTAATTTTGGACACTATATTCCGTATGGAGCTATTAAAGATGGACATGTGATTGTTGTATGTTATACTTTCTGTAAAGACCATGCGTATCTGATAACTTACATCAAGAAATTTCTACAGCTGCTACTCATACTTTAAAGCGTGGATGTGAAATAATGTCCATAAGTTATACAATCTAGAGCATACAATCAACGCTTTTAAAATGTATCTGAAATAAAATTAAATTTTGGAATTCTGGGTCTGAACGTCTGTCACATTTCAGAACAAGATGTACTCGAGGAGCTTCAATGAAGACATGATATACTATGGAGAGGTGGATCTTTCTAAGAAGCCATGGTCACTCTCGCGAAAGGATATCTCACTTGAAGAGGAAATAAAGTCAGGTCGTTTTGCCACCATATATAAGGCGAAAATGTTCTCCCGTCATCACGCTGACGCTGACACCGTTGTGGCTAAAGTATTGAAAGGTATGTATGTTTATTGTATTTACAGTCGTTGTTTCAGCGGGACTGTTGGAAAACTTCATGTCATCGGAGTATTCGATATAAGAGAGATCGAATATTTGGTGAAAAGTTTGGCCGGGACAGTACTTCCAATTAAGCAGGGTCTTTAAGTTATACGAGTTCGAGATAAGGAGGTTCGACTTTATCTTCTTACTGACAATGGTTAAGTTTATTTATATATCGAAACGCTCACAACATGTTCTCATGTCAATGCTATATTGTAGAATGCTTCGTTGACCACTTTTTAAAAGCAAATTTCTGTACCAAGAGAATAGATTTGGTTTATATTGACTTCAACAAATCCATTTTGTGGTATCGGTAGAAAAAATAATGTTCATTATTACTGTTTTTTTTTTTTTTAGCGAACTGCGAAGAAAAAGACGTGACATTAATGAAGGCTAAGATTAATTTCTATGGCTCCGAAGTTGGTAATCACCCGAACGTCCTGAAGTTTATTGGGTCAGTCGACGACAATGCAAGTATGTAATACAAATAGGATAACATGTAGTAGAAAACCAATATAAATTATTATCTCATGAGAACTTATGTCCTTTTTAGTATTTGTGTGAATAATATCCGTCATTGACGCTACTTCTTATAAGTCTTAAGAAATATCCTTACCAAAGCCAACAAATGTCAAAGCTTTTATTCAGATTTCTTTCTAAGTTACAGAGTTGAATGCTTCTCCAAAATTTATCATCCAAATCCTCTTCGATACATTTCCCATTCAAATGCCATTCCAACACTCCTGGTGTTGTGTTAATGATTTATCACAAATGCTTTTACTCCTTGCCGCTGATACCTTTAAAAGGCCAAAACTTAGTTATTTTACCATAAAATTACCAAATGAAATAACAATAATTAAACTTTATTTACTTTTACAACAATTGTAAAACACATTTTTCAAACTTTTATTATTCGCTCTTTTTGGCCCGGATGGAAACGCATGAGGGGACATGCTGTGGGAGCATGAGTACTCGGGGAAAACCCATGTTATTGAGCATGTGATACCATGCCTTTTCGCGTCCGTATCGGGAATCGAACATCGCATTTATTTTTCAAATCTTTTTTCAAAACCAAACTTGCTTCTTAGAGTATGCCATTCATATTAATATAAGTTTCAGGGTCAATGTCACCCATGTTTCCATTATCTTGATAAAGGTTTTCGTTTTGTTTATTGCTCATTGTTCGGATCATCTCTAAATTGTTTTGAAGTGATATTTCCATTCTCCAGGTTGAAAATTTTAATATTTATAAGGTTTTCTCCTCTCCTCTTGGCTCTAGAGCATATGATACTTCTTTTCATGTTTTAGTTCTTTCTTTTCCGATCACAGGATGGTTCAATACATAGCAAAGCAATGTTTCACCTACATTTAACCACTACAGTTGTCAAGGTGACCAAATGTCCCCATCAGAAATTTTAACTAATAATGGATAAAAAAAAAGTCACTCTATGAAACTCTCATTGAAATATTAAGTTGAACAGATTTCCAAATAAAAATGAATGTTGATAAAACTGAAATATATATTATTTGGTAAAATGAAATAAGGAATAAGTTAAAAAGTTCCAGAGAATGTAACCTAATCCTTTTAAAAACTATATGATTAAACCGTCTCATTCACACACACATACCTTGAAAAAGGAAGTTGTCTCTTAATGGCTAGATTCATGTTATTAAATCCTAGTTCAATAATTTTTTATATTCCTTTCAAACCCAAGTTAAAAGGTGATTAAAGAAATAATTTAGCTACTTACTAGAATGTTACGTAGTAGTAAAACAGATAAAATCACAGAACATTATTCAGACTATAGTGATTTAGACTGAAGACGGTTCACAGGCACGGATACAGGATTAATTAGACTTTAAGAAACATTACTCAGACCATAGTGATTTAGACTGAAGACGGTTCACAGGCACGGATACAGGATTAATTAGACATTTAAAACTCAGAAATACCCGGTGAAAAATGGTAAGACCTTATTTACCTAGTCATAAACATTTTCATTGATCCATCATTGACATTCTACAAGAATCTGAAGCAAATAAAACAGCCCTTCGCATCTCATTTTCTTCAGATCTCTCATGTCTTCTATGAACACAAACTCTACTTTTAACATTTGAAGCATAAGTGTTCACTAATTTTATTACTTGCCTGCTTTTTAGAAACTGTGATGTGCAAGTATGTGCGTAATTGAATATATAAAATTGGTCTATTGTGTGCAAGCATGTAACTTAGGAATATTTATGTGTGCATGTCGGTACTTAATGTATGTGGTGTGTTTATGTGTGACCCAATGTAAAAACAAAATTAATTTGTGGTTGATATTGTGAATAGTTTCACTTGCTGAATTACATATAATGTGAATTCAAAGTTGTGAAAAAGGCGTTAAGCGATATCACAATGAAACGATTTCTTCCCGCTGATTTTTTTTTTTTTATTATATATACCACCTTATGAATAAATAATGACATTTGGTTTTCGCTGAAATATGCACATGAAGAGGTTGATTAACAATAATAAATCCTGATCAACAGTATGGGTATGTAAATTTGTGGTCATATATGGTAACGCATAACGGACCGTCGCCTGTAATCGGTCGCAAGAATGTTGGCGATTAATTTCGTAATTCTGAATTAAGAGTTATTTAATAGCCATACTTATAACAAAACCTGGTGCTGAAAAAAAGGGGATTTTACAACCTTGGCACTACTGTCGGTGTCAATTTTGCCCTCCATCATTTGTTCGTATTTACAAAAAGAACTGCCTCGATTTTAAAACTATCCCGTGACGTTGTCAGCCCTAAATTTAAGAGGGCTTTCCGAACCAAAGAAGTGATCAATCTGGGCATAAGAAGTCGACTCTAAATATCGGGATATAATCGTAACTGGACTTGTGTAAAACACGTACAATCAGTGACACAAATCAATGTTTGTGTTATGAAATACAAAATTACGTACTATCATAAAACATAATACGGCACCTTCCATGCATCTCTTATTGGTAGAACATTACTATTGGTATTCTATCTCTCCAAAGTTCTTGAGCAGATCACAATGTTTTCTTTCCATTCTCAATTGAATGTCAGTGGGTCCATTTATGGTGTTGGAGTACTGCGAGAATGGCACTGTGAAGGACTACCTAACAAGCCAAAAGACCAAGGTCAGTGAGCAGGTCCATGAACGACTGTTCAAATTTGTCTTCGATGTCAGCAAAGGCATGGAATACCTGGCCAACAAAAAGGTAAGGTTTTACAATAAATAATAATTCATGGAAATCGCAGTATATCGCCTAAATACGAAGAAATAGACAAATATCAGTATTCAATTCTCAAAAAAAAAATCGCCGTTTCTCTAGTATTAATTTTGAAATGTCGTTTCAAAGGGAGTATTGCTTTAAAAGGTATTTAGTGCTAACGCAATCGATTTATAATGATCATGCTTGAATTTCTATTCTTTAATCGGGAATTGTCTTGATCTATTTCTGTAGATTGTACATCGGAGATTGGCTGCCAGAAACATTCTGCTCACCTTCCTCTATGAGGTGAAGATATCCGGCTTCGGGCCGATACCAAATGAAGAAGACGAAAGTGGTAAAGCGGTAAAGATCTATTTGACTTATTCAAGTATCATTTCCCGAAAACTAACTTTTCATTGTAAGATTTTTAACATCTCTCTGATAAAACAGATTAAATGGTGAACGTGGTTTGTGTATATTGTAGGAGAAGATCCCTGTGAAGTGGCTTCCTCCTGAGTGTATAGAGGCTAGCTCTACCCGGGACGCTACACAGAAATCCGACGCCTGGTCTTATGGCATTTTGATGTGGGAGATATTTACCTTATGTAAGTCGGTACACGTGGCAGTTAAAAATAAAGTTTAACTACATCATTCAGCATTCATTCAACTTGAACGTGGACAAAATAAATGTTAAGATAAAGTGTGCACTATCCCAGTATGTACACTTTTCCCTTGTAATTTTCAATATTGGATGAATTTAAAAACAATGATGTAATATGGAACAAGATAGATATTCGGTAGGTATTTTTTTAAAGCGGATTCGGTGTTAAAGGCTACAAAAAAGGTACTCAGGTGTTTCGAGTTAATTTAACGTAAAGGTTCAAAACACGTACTTGATAGGTAGTTCAAGGTGATTAATTGTAACTTGATGCAAAACAGGTATTGAGTAGGTATTTTAAGGTAGTTTAATGTCACAGGGTACAATATAGGTATTCGTTAGGTATTTTAAGGTGGTTTAATGTCACAGGGTACAATATAGGTATTCGTTAGGTATTTTAAGGTGGTTTAATGTCACAGGGTACAATATAGGTATTCGTTAGGTACTTCAAGGTGGTTTAATGTCACAGGATACAATATAGGTATTCGTTAGGTACTTCAAGGTGGTTTAATGTCACAGGATACAATATAGGTATTCGTTAGGTACTTCAAGGTGGTTTAATGTCACGGGTACAATATAGGTATTCGTTAGGTATTTCAAGGTGGTTTAATGTAATGGGTACAACATAGTATTTAAGGTGATTAAAGGGAAACAAAGGTACATCTAATATTAGTATGGGTATTTTTTAAAGAAATACTAATGCTTCAGTATTACCATCATTTAGATTTCCTATTAATGACAAGAATATTTTAGTGCTCGTCTAGCTGTTCAGTCAAACTTTTGTTCAAACTACTTACTACAATATTTATTATTATTTCATATCGGTGTTACAGATTTATTTTGATACAGTTTCCTCGTGTATTAATAGTGGAATAAATAGTATGTTGATTTTAAAGGACGCCAAAATCTTTCAATACCATTTTCTGAAAAAAAACATTTCTTCTGTTACAACATTGATTTTTTCCATCATACCCCATTTTTATCTAAAAATAAACCACTTTCGTTCTCTTGTTATGAAAAATGTGAACGGTGTTCTAAATATATGGTTGTGAACTATGCAAAATAGTATTTCTCGGGAAAAAACGTCGAAACATGAACAAAAATAAGATTTACGTGGGGGAGTCCTGAACTACAAGAATAAAGACCGCGTGTTTCAGAAGAGTAAGTATCTTCTGCTTTATCGAAGGCACCTGCCGTATATACCTTGGTCAATCCAGGTAGTAATGTCAAAAGAGAGGACAAGGCATACAACAACGTACCAAGGCAAACTAACCAACATCTAAACGTCCAGCTTCATATCGCAAAAAGAAATCGAATATTTCACTATGAGATCACTATGACGACATAGCACTTCAGTATGACGGAAATTCTGAGCCAAGCCAGTAAAAGTATGATCTGTTGTCAAATTATTTAATAAATCCACAATCAGTGAAAGTAATTTTGATTTATGAAGCAACTATTACAACAAATGTATTGTCCCTTTCAAGACATAAATGTAGATTTTTTTTATCCATTTTTCCTGTGTTGAATCTTCCAAAATTCAAATTAATCTCCCGCAAAATCAAGAAAGCAATTGATATATCATTATTACGTTTATTGTAGGTGACATCCCGTTCTCAGATGTTCGGTCTGCGAGTTTACTGCCACACCTAAAGAGGGGAGAAAGACCGCCGAAGCCAGAATATGCTGATGAAAAGTAATACCATTTTCTCATTAGAAATCCATTTATTACCTATCAAAAATGAAAATGTCACCATTTCAAATTCATCCCTTCCCCATCTCAATGTATCAACCACACCTTTTAGTTGTCTTTAATTTGAAGACTTAAGGTACCTTCGATTTGTATACAATTTGTGTAACCGTCCTGAATTTGAAGTCAGCTCACAATAATGTCAAGTAAACAAGTATCCAGAGCCTGCATTCGACCGTTAATTGTGGAAAGAAATCGTCATTTTCACAAGCATGACACACATGGATCGAAAGTTTCTTCTTCGTCCACAAGATTCTAAAATTGGACATGTCTCACATACACCCACTGATGTGACTTTATCTAAAGCTAATGTGACTTTATCTAAAGCTAAAGCTAATGTGACTATCTAAAACTAATGTGACTTTATCTATGCACTAAAGCTAATGTGACTTTATCTATGCACTAAAGCTAATGTGACTTTATCTAAAGCTAAAGCGACTTTATCTATGCACTAAAGCTAATGTGACTTTATCTAAAGCTAATCTTTTACAACTTTCTTCACAGGATGTATGGCATTATGAAAAAGTGCTGGCATGAGACTCCGAAGAAGAGACCATCTTTCGCCAAATTACGAGCAGAACTTGAGACACTTTTCATCTCCTCAGGTGATGACGAATTCTACTACGACAACCAGTTCATCTACGATAACAAACAATAGTTAACAGTATTGTTGGACGTTTTCTACAAATAAGTGTTTTTTCTAACCAAACACGAAGAGGGCATATGCAGTTGAGTTTAAACTTGACAAAACCAATACAAATTTACTTCCTTCATCAACTTTCATAAAGTAAAATAATGTAAATACACACAATCAAAAGTGGTTTCCACTTGTAAGTGATGGAATGAAGTTTGAACTTAATTCTGACTACAAAATGTATACATGCTTCTACGAAGTAAGGATTTATAATCAAAGCATCTCAATATCGTAATACACATGCTTATGGTTCACTCACCTTTGCCCATTAACTTACGTTGCAAAAGAAATAACATATTGTGTTGTACATTTTCATTATTCATTCTGGAGTGATTCCATTTTGTACATTGATAAATATTACATTATGTGAAGCTATAAATATATTACACATTAGTTACCAAACGATAAATTCAGTCCCATCGGTTACATGTTAATTATTGACAAGACATTTACAATGACAAAGAATCACTTATGTCACATCGACATACTTCTTACTACAAAATGTATATATGTTTCTACGCTTCATTTTGCTTTAAACTTATACATGGTATCATTTGTAACAATATAGGTGAATATGGACCTGTCCTGGTCTATAACATTAGGATCTGAACATCTGTAACAATATAGGTGAACATGTACCTGTCCTGGTCTATAACATTAGGACCTGACCATTTTAACAATATAGGTGAACATGTACCTGTCCTGGTCTATAACATTAGGATCTGAACATTTGAAACAATATAGGTGAACATGTACCTGTCCTGGTCTATAACATTAGGATCTGAACATTTGCAACAGTATAGGTATTTAAGGACATGTGGTCTCTGATCAGTGCTATTTGACTGTAATATATTCTCAGGTCACTCTTAAGTGTCCTACTTGTATATCGTGAAGTAAAGGTTTGTACGTAAAAGTTGATTTACCTTAAACTTAGACAAGGTTTATAAAACTGGTTTGGAGCCTCAAATGTTAAATCACTACCTAATGATGCATCTCCTAATGCCACAATTTCCTCACATCATCATTCTTTATTTACATTACTTGTACACTAAATCAGATGTAAAAGAATGCTTATCTTTCTAATCAGAGAAAAAAATTCATAGATGGAGGTATTTATCATCGTTTATTTACATTACTTTGACACTAAATCAGATGTAAAAGAATGCTTATCTTTCTAATCAGAGAAAAAAAATCATAGATGGAGGTATTCATAATCATCGTTTATTTACATTACTTGGACACTAAATCAGATGTAAAAGAATGCTTATCTTTCTAATGAGAGAAAAAAATCATAGATGGAGGTATTTATCATCATCGTTTATTTACATTACTTGGACACTAAATCAGATGTAAAAGAATGCTTATCTTTCTAATCAGAGAAAAAAAATGGAGGTATTTATCAAGATGCTTATTGCATTGATTATCCTTTATTTGATCAGTGAAACCTTTTCTTACAATTTACAAGTGACTTTCGTCCCTGGTTTCATCTGAGCAAATACTAACATGTCTACAAAATTATAATCCAATCTCTAATTCAATAAAACTGGGGAACAAAGTAATCAATTAACTCTTGTCATCTCTTTTTTTATTATGCTGTGTGAACGTTACAAAAACATTTCATAGTAATGATTACAACAACTATCATCTACGTGGCAGCAGTTATGGTCAAAATTATTCAATCTTGTAAGAAAGGTAATTTATAAACAATAACAAATACTGTGTATGATCACACACAAAAGACATGTCCCGAAAATAGACTGGAGTAGAGAAGTTCTCAGGAGGTTCATTACCCTAACCATATAAACACATGATGTTTAATGAGAAAACAACGTAAAAACTGATTAAAAAATTATCTGGTAATCAAGTTGTGAAGTCCGGCAGAATGAAGATAACAGGAGTTTTAGTTTTCTTGTAGGATTTAATCATTAAACATATAACTCCATCAGTCTGTTTAAATATGTCAACAGCAAGAACACAGTCATGTGACAGCTGAGCAATGCACAGCATTCAGGTTTATATAATGTACTATTTTGCATATAAAATGTTAACTAGATTTGTACACGTACCAAGTGTAATCAGGAATGGTCCCTCGGAGAAAACTGGAGTATTAACTGTACTGGGACCTTCACTTACAAAACTCTCTTAATCCCTCAGAGAAAACTGGAGTATTAACTGTACTGGGACCTTCACTTACAAAACTCTCTTAATCCCTCAGAGAAAACTGGAGTATTAACAGTACTGGGACATACAGTGTTACAAAACTCTCTTAATCCCTCAGAGAAAACTAGAGTATTAACTGTACTGGGACCTTCACTTACAAAACTCTCTTAATCCCTCAGAGAAAACTAGAGTATTAACTTTACTGGGACCTTCACTTACAAAACTCTCTTAATCCCTCAGAGAAAACTAGAGTATTAACTGTACTGGGACCTTCACTTACAAAACTCTCTTAATCCCTCAGAGAAAACTAGAGTATTAACTGTACTGGGACCTTCACTTACAAAACTCTCTTAATCCCTCAGAGAAAACTAGAGTATTAACTTTACTGGGACCTTCACTTACAAAACTCTCTTAATCCCTCAGAGAAAACTGGAGTATTAACAGTACTGGGACTTACAGTGTTACAAAACTCTCTTAATCCCTCAGAGAAAACTAGAGTATTAACTGTACTGGGACCTTCACTTACAAAACTCTCTTAATCCCTCAGAGAAAACTAGAGTATTAACTGTACTGGGACCTTCACTTACAAAACTCTCTTAATCCCTCAGAGAAAACTAGAGTATTAACTTTACTGGGACCTTCACTTACAAAACTCTCTTAATCCCTCAGAGAAAACTAGAGTATTAACTGTACTGGGACCTTCACTTACAAAACTCTCTTAATCCCTCAGAGAAAACTAGAGTATTAACTGTACTGGGACCTTCACTTACAAAACTCTCTTAATCCCTCAGAGAAAACTAGAGTATTAACTGTACTGGGACCTTCACTTACAAAACTCTCTTAATCCCTCAGAGAAAACTAGAGTATTAACTGTACTGGGACCTTCACTTACAAAACTCTCTTAATCCCTCAGAGAAAACTAGAGTATTAACTTTACTGGGACCTTCACTTACAAAACTCTCTTAATCCCTCAGAGAAAACTAGAGTATTAACTGTACTGGGACCTTCACTTACAAAACTCTCTTAATCCCTCAGAGAAAACTAGAGTATTAACTGTACTGGGACCTTCACTTACAAAACTCTCTTAATCCCTCAGAGAAAACTAGAGTATTAACTTTACTGGGACCTTCACTTACAAAACTCTCTTAATCCCTCAGAGAAAACTGGAGTATTAACAGTACTGGGACTTACAGTGTTACAAAACTCTCTTAATCCCTCAGAGAAAACTAGAGTATTAACTGTACTGGGACCTTCACTTACAAAACTCTCTTAATCCCTCAGAGAAAACTAGAGTATTAACTGTACTGGGACCTTCACTTACAAAACTCTCTTAATCCCTCAGAGAAAACTAGAGTATTAACTTTACTGGGACCTTCACTTACAAAACTCTCTTAATCCCTCAGAGAAAACTAGAGTATTAACTGTACTGGGACCTTCACTTACAAAACTCTCTTAATCCCTCAGAGAAAACTAGAGTATTAACTGTACTGGGACCTTCACTTACAAAACTCTCTTAATCCCTCAGAGAAAACTAGAGTATTAACTTTACTGGGACCTTCACTTACAAAACTCTCTTAATCCCTCAGAGAAAACTAGAGTATTAACTGTACTGGGACCTTCACTTACAAAACTCTCTTAATCCCTCGGAGAAAACTGGAGTATTAACTGTACTGGGACCTACACTGTTACAAAACTCTCTTAATCCCTCTGAGAAAACTTGAGTTTTAATGTTACTGGGACCTACACTGTTATAAACTCTCTTGAAGTACCTTTTTAGTCATGAATGATGCTTATCTAATGACACTGTACTTCAACATAGGGAAGGAAGGTCTGTAGAACAGACTGGTGTACTCCTTCAAACTTTTGAAACAATAACAAACTTCATACTGGCAAGGACAGTTTAGGGAACCCTAACATAAACACATGAAAATGAAACTTTTCAAATAACCCCATGGTCTGCCATTTTATCCAATCAGAAAACGGTCCTTTCAATTGACTGGCCTATACTTTTCCATTCTCCCACTCTGGGAGCCAATCTATTAGCCAATCTGGGCCAGAAAACAGAAAAATCAGAAAACAGGAGTACATTATTTGAAATTTGCAAATCTACAAGAAGCTGTCATTAGTTAACTACACGTCATGATAAATCAGGACCCTGTACTCTTTTACATCAAGTTTAAAACATTTTACAAAGCAAATCTCTGTTTTGCGACAGTCACATTTCTCAAACTTTATTATTTTCAAAAACATAAAAACATCTATGACTGTGACTTATAACAATAAACCATGCATCCCTGGTAGGATCAAGCAACACACCTGAGGTTGTTAAGTCTGACACTCTGCCACCTCTATCATTGTGGCTCCTCAAGATGGACTGATGGACTGGTGAATGGAGGCTGTCACAACATCCCCTTCCAACATTCTGAATGGAAGAATATGAAGGACATTTCAAGACCCTAATATTGTAAATTAAAACAGATTCAATATGAGGTATGTGGTACATCAGTCACATAACTGCACGAAGATAACACATGAGCTTAAGAAAGAACTACACAACTATGCTGAGCTTTCAGGGGATATTAGTTTTTACAGTGTACGGACTTTCCTTCAGGAATTATTCCTACATCTGAGACACTTTCTTAGAGGCAAAAAATCTGGAAAGACTAGACATTGCTTGGCCAAATTTGTCTATGTTTTGTAGACTTTTTCCAATCCAAGAGGGCAGTTTCCCCGACACATTTTTATGACTATACCGCTTGTCCAGCAGCAGAATAGAAGAGTAATCTCCCTTGTGACGAATGGCTCTTCCAATTGACTGATTAACTGCCTTCATACACAAGTTCTCATAATGAACCTGACCTGGCTGGCGACCATCTACTCCTGCCTTGAAGTTTGCATTCAAGTAGTTCATCTTCTCTTTGAGCTCTGGAGAATTGATGTTTGGATATGGCAGTCCAACCATAATCACACATCTTCCAAGTTCATCAGAAAAGTTGATCCCTTCACTCATTTTTCCACCTACAACACACAACAGTAGGGCCCCTGTCAGACTGCCTGTGGAACCTGTAACACCACATGTGTCTTGTTTTGAACTGCTTTTAATGCAAGAGGAAAATTCAGCCAGTACTTGATCAACCTGACTAGATTTCCGAGGTTCTTGAAATACGCGTTTCTTACGAGCAATACGTTGTATGAAACCTGTTTCCTCCCAATGTACATATACAAGTTTGAGATAATCATAGGACGGGAAAAAACAGATAACACCGCTGGGTACAACTTGACACACATTCTGAATCAACATGCCAAGTTCGTCTAACAATTTTCTGCTTTCCCTGGACTGGTAAGTGAAGTCTAGTTTATATCCACTGGGTCCTGATCCAAGTGAGAGAGCGAGGAGGTGATCCTCTGGGATCACATGACCACAGGAATATTCAAGCAGTCGAGTAGGGTGGACACCAGCTGAGTGGAAAAGTTGATCTTTGAATTCCGAAATCGGTTGCATAGTACCTCCAGCGACAATTACTGACCTAGCTTCTCTTAAAACATCTGAAAAATGAATAGCAGGGTTAAGGAGCAGATATTTCATGCTTGATTGACTTAGCATTGTCTGTTTTGTCACAACAATTCGTCCATCAGTGTCTGCATTGGTCAGTGCCTGGAGGAATCCTTCAATATGCATCAGTGGAGATCTCAACACCACATCCTCTACCGACTTCACCTCCGGTGATACATTTGGAGTTGTCCCTTGAGAGATTTCAGGTTTTGTTATTTCCCGCAGGAAACTTAAGACCCCTGCATTTCCTGTGACTTTTGTTTCCTCTTTAGGAGTAACCTCTGCATTAGGGTATTTCTCTGCAAAGCCGTTCAGTTTTCTGGAGATCATGCTTTTTTTACAATATTGTAGTATTTTGAAAAGGTTGAGATTGTCAAGATTGGCCTGAAACAAAAAGTTGTTGGTCGTACACATCCTTGTCTCTGCTTTACCTGTGAATTGTTTACCACCTGGTAATCCAGTCTTACCACCGACAATTTTCAGCAGGCATGAGAGTACAAACAAGATCTGTTTGATGTACATCAGATTCTTGGCCTTCAAGCGTGATCTGTACCTGTAATAATTCAAACAATGAAAACTTATTGTGTTTCATCACAGTATGTAACGTTAAATCAACTCAGGTACCTAATGACCATCAAAATATTGTGCAGTGTTTCTACAGGAGGAATATTGAATTGTGACATTCTGTGAGTCCTCAGTGTGATAACTTACCTCTCCTTTTAATGCGAAAGTTGACTTTGAGCTTTCAATAAATGATAACTTACCATTCCTTGTACCATGTGAGTTGACTGTGGACCCAGTGTGTGTGATAACTTACCATTTCTTGTCCCGTGTGAGTTGAATGTGGACCCACAGTGTATGATAACTTACCATTCCTTGCCCCATGTGAGTTGACTGTGGACCCACAGTGTATGATAATTTACCATTTCTTGTCCCGTGTGAGTTGACTGTGGACCCACAGTGTGTGTGATAACTTACCTCTCCTCATACTGCGTGAGTTGACTGTGGGCCCTTAGTAACTGTGACCCCGTAACTTCCATACTATGTATGTTGTTAATAGTTTCCAACAAATTGTGAGCTTCATCAATCAGAACAATGTTGCCCTCCAGCTTGATGCCACAGGCTACCCTTGTGGCTTTGTGGAGAAGTAGGTTGTACGGCAATGCCACTATCTCGGCCAAAGGTATGCCATGTCGAGTTCCATAAAAGGGACATGCTTTCATTTCCTTACCTGTAAATAGTATTTTTAATGATTAACACAACTCTATTTGGAGAACATTTTACACTGGTATGAAAAAGAGGATCATTAGTGTAAAGCATTACTATGGAAGGCTCTTTATCATCCTTGTGAATGTCTTTCATAAATTTCATATTTTCATCAAACAACTCAATGCACAGTTCCTGGATTGTAATTAGTTTTCAAGTACACAAGTATTAAGCCAGACACGTCAAAATTATTAGATTAAAATCAAATATCATTTTAAATCTTCAACTCATAAAAATACATTGACTCGACACTCTCTAAAACTGCATGACACACCTACGTAGTCATTTCTGAATGTCTCGATGTGTTGGTTGGTGGTTTCCTGTGCAGTTTCTTTGGCAATTTAGTGAAGTAGTTACAGAGCAGAGAGTAACAACATTGATTGCCCTGCTTATTTTTTCAATATTTTTCAAAAATTCATTGAAGTCCTAAACAATTAAGATTTGTTAGACTATCAATGTCTCTGCAGTCAAATGCTTTGATGAATGAAGTGATAACTACAACTGCAGGACATACTATCACATAGAACAGTTAACATTTGAAATGAAGTCTCATTACAGGACTTACAACCTCAATCAAGAACAGAGATGTCATTACCTTTAGTGACAATTTGCTCCATATCTTTGACTTCCAACAGGAGTTCTTCTTTCAGCTCACCAATGCCCTCCTGACGGTAATATGGGCACTTTTCTAGGCGCCTTTTCCTTCGTTTTGCTTTTGCTTCACCTGTGTGTTCCCTTTTCTCTGATTTTGATTTTTGCATGTCCAAACATGCATCATTAATGAGACTAATAGATTTAAGTTTTTTCACGGTTTCATTAATACAAAGATTTTGTCGAGATCCAAGGGAGACAACCCTTGTGTTGTCTCCATATGGACTTTTAACAACCTCCCTGACAAACTGAGACAGCTGTGAGTGAGTCCTACTGCAGTAATATATCTTTGTGATATGACACTCCTCTTCCTCATCATCTGATTTTTCATCATTTCTTTCATCATCACTTTTATAATCTTGGACAATAAGATCCTCATCTTGACCATCCACGTTGCCATCTTCCATTACATCACTGATTCCTTTATCAATCTCAGAATTATATGCTTCCTGAATTTCCCTAGAAGCACCTTTAATTAAATTATCAAATTCATCCTCAATCTTTTTACGCTTCTTTGAATGACCATATTGACTTGATCTTCGTTCCTTAGTCTTTGATTCCTGTTTTTTCAGGAGTTCATGCTCACTGATGACTTTTTTCAATTGTTCTTCTTTTTCTTTCTTTTGTACAAATTCAGTGATCCAGTCCACCTCTGTGTTGTCTAGATTGTTTGTGATAATATTCTCTTTGTTTCCCTTGTCTGTCGTCAAAGCTTCCAATTCCTTCCTCTGTTTCTCCTGGGATTCAGTACAAAATTTTTATTATTAGTTATCATCAGTTCTACCCCCATATACAATCATCATCTAATCTATGATAAATGACTTCTAGGCTCAATTCGTTTGTGGTTGATATTCCCAAAGTCCTGAATAAATAAAAGAATCTACATTTTCACAAAATTTAACATACAAGACACAAATGATAATCTCAGTTTTAATGACTACAATTACATGATTCCCATACCATAATTCATATTGTATGAATATGTGTGTAAAGTTTTGTTAAATTCCATACAATAGTTTTTGAGAAATGTGTCAGAAACCTCGCCAACGGAAGAAAGAAATAAGAATAATATAAATAATAATAATAAGAAGAAGAAACGGAGCAAACACAATATGTCCCCCCACTTCGTTTGGGGGACATAAATATGTTGCTAAAAACTGTCAGGTTAGCTGAGTACCCTGAAAAATACAAAATTATTGTAGGTTAATTGAGTACCTGTAACACGAAATCTGTATTAGCCTGCATTTCTTTTTCCTATCTACAACTACTGTATCCCATATTATCAAAATTTGTTAGTTGGTTCAAATGTAAAATGACCGAGACCTTTTAATTTAAGTTGTATACATGTAATAGAACTAACCTAATTATTTTAGCAACAATCTGAACCATTACTGGATCATTGTAAGTGATGGGACAATGACCCCCACATTTTCTATCATTTAACCTCATCTGATGAGATGATCAATTGCAATTTTTAATTATGAATCACTTATACCTCAATATTTTCTTGTGTTTTAACAAAATCAATATTCATATCCAGCTAATAATATTCATGCTTGGTCCAATTCTATGTAAATAAGGTATTCTAGGTCAAATTCACAAAAAATGAAAATAATCACTGCAACAGAAAATGTGTTCACTTTCTAAGAAAATTTAACACGCAATCTGACTTCATTGGAAAGCCTATCCTACATTAATGCTTAATCGATTATGACTTTTAACTGATTTCCCTTCACTAATCATCGTATTTACACAGGAAAATCAGTGGATGGTAGTATAATTTTTCAAATAAATTGTTTACCTGTAAATCCTTAAGCCACTTGAGAGCCCCACATATGAGACTTAGTGACTTGCCTGTCCCTGTTGGGCTCTCAAAAATCCCAATTTTTCCCTGTTCCAGACACTGATACAGTTGATTCATGAAATTCTGCTGAATATTGTATGGCTCAAATGGAAAAGGAAAAGATTTTGGAATGCTGACTTCTGTATAGACTGGCAGATCTTCAACTTTTGACTTTAAACCAACATCTGAAATGAAGGTAACAAAAAGGTACCCTACACTTTATTTTGAATGTGGTAAGCAATGTTGATGGCAGAAACATTCTCTTAAATTCATACCATAATGACAGAAGTCACTGAAACTTTCAATCTATAAATGAGTAAACAAGGGAACCCCAGGGTGGAACAATATCGTCCCAAACCGAAGAAATGTTCACGGTTTATCGTATCACAACGAATACTAACAGGAAATAATAATCAAGAGTACAAATTTCAACACAGAAAACAGTGGTATAAGTTTTAATGATAATGTGTAAGAACAAGGAAAGCACGCATCCCTGTTGAATGTCGAGACCAAGAATTGAACCCAGGTCTCCAGTATGGTAATCAACCTTTCTACCAACTGAGTTAATGAAACATGTTCTGTCAGCTGAGTAAAAGTCCAAATACCACAACTGATGAAATTTCCTCGAGTGCCGATGTGAAAGAACTGGAAAAATACACATTCCTATAGAATGCCTCACCCAGGTATAGAATCTGAGTTTCCGGTGTAATAATTGACTGGCTCTATCAACTGAGCCAAAGAAGCTTGCTCCATCAGCTGAGTGACACAGACTGTATTTAACACTATGTATGTTCAAACCACACCAACACACTTCTTTTGCACATAAAAAAGCACACAAGTTTTAAAGAGTTGAAAACTTGGAGCAATCAGAAATCTAAAAAATTGTTTAAATATTTTAAAATCAAAATGATATTGATATGAACAGTGTCATGGTTTTAAAGCCATCCAGTTTCAAAGGCATCGGTGAGTTAAAGACTGAGGGAGGAGATATCTGGACAAGATGAAAATGTTAAAGACAATGAGCAATTATAACTCTTCCCACAATCATGAAATCACAATGCTATTTAGGAAAGCCTGGCCACAAAGTTTCACAGAAATTGGTGCAAAACGGACACACAAACAGAACAAACAATGAAATACACAGATCAATGAATATCAAATATACCAATGTTTCTCCAGTTTCATTATACAAGAGCACATACAATAATAAACACCCACCCATGGGAATGAATGCTTTATGAATGACACGGTGAGGCTTCTGTGGTTTGCAAGCTCTATAACATAGCTATATACTTACAGTAGGGGACTTCACTACCTTAGCCATTAGTTGTGGACCCCTTAATAATCATTTTTCACTAGCTATGCTTTGTTGATGAACTGCCACCAAACAAATTCATAAATGACTTGAAATGAATTCACACCATATGATTTATTGGGAAAACTGGTGAAATACCAGTCTTTTTCTTAAAAATATCCACAGATATGACCTCAAATTTGCGTACCAGAAATGATCAATATGTGTATAGGACATGTAACTGTGCTTTCGTTTCTGATATCACTAAATCACAGAGACACTCGAGTTAGCTATATTATGTAAGTGTGACCTGAGGTACACATTATAACATAAAATCATTTGAACAGGATTAACACCTTGATGAAAATCAAAATATATTTATGATGCGAAAGTGGTGGATATCTGTTTATGAATGCACATTCTAAAGGGTTAGATTCAAGTTTGTATTGTTTGATCCTTGTTTTCCTCAAACCATATTTCTTGTTGAACTTCTTTTTTTATAACACAAACTATTCAAATACAGTTTTTTTTTTATCTTTCTGTCTACATTTAAATATATTTATATAAAATTGTAATGAGTCGTCAAAAGTTCTGCTAATACATCATCACATTTTCAGTATACAGGGTGTTAGTTTGGACTTTCGTAACCAAAAAAATGGGCCTATTATTCCGTCAATTTTTATTCACATGACAGACGACAACGAAACATTTGCATCCGGGGATGAATTGATAGGTTATTTCATCTTATCTAGGAAGATGTTTGACATGTGAAAATGTATATTAAGAAAAAATACACAAATGTAACAATGAGACATATATTTTATGGTGATTGGTTTAAATCTCATTTTTTTATTCTTTCTGGAAGTGTGACCAGAGACATATATAACACATGTGTTATATATATCTCTGGTGTGACCAAGTAAATCGGATAGGTAATGAATTACGACCCTGAGTCAAGTTCCATACGCAATGTCAGTATCCTTACCATTTGCTGATCGTTCGTCCGGATTAGGATATACGTCATTATACATGACAGACGCCAGTACATCATCCCCTTCATCATCAAATTCATCCATCTTTCAGTCAGTATTTATGTCATCACTGTCAAAATCAGCGCGCCAAATGTGTCTTCATATTACAATCGTAGACACAACTGCCGGACAGGCGTTCCGGATCTTTTCACGTGATTATTTGATTAATGCATTGAGCCTATTTACTTTAAACAGGGATGTAAATTTGAAACAAAAACAAAAACCTAACAAATCTAGGTCCCATTCTTTGTTTAGAAAAACTGTTTTTCCCAATAAATTGTGTTATCTGAGAGATTAGGTTACGTAATATCAATGAAAAACAACCAGTTTTAAAAGAGACGTATATAACACAGTGTTATATACGTCTCTGGTTTTTAGTATCGTTTTATCAATTTCACACATCATGTTTGTTATATCTTTAGTCTGAAACTAAACTATTAATGATTTTTTTTCCAAAGAAGTTTAAACCCCACTAAAACTGAAAACAAAAACAAAAATTTGAGCTTGTCTAGACCCGGGACAACTGACAACAAAACACCTAATCATCTGAAGTAGTTTAGACCCGGGACAACTGACAACACGACACCGATTTATCTGAAGTAGTTCAGACCCGGGACAACTGACAACACGACACCGATTTATCTGAAGTATTTTAGACCCGGGACAACTGACAACACGACACCAATTTATCTGAAGTATTTTAGACCCGGGACAACTGACAACACGACAACGATTTATCTTAAGTATATTAGACCCGGGACAACTGACAACACGACAACGATTTATCTGAAGTATTTTAGACCCGGGACAACTGACAACACGACACCAATTTATCTGAAGTATTTTAGACCCGGGACAACTGACAACAATACACCAATTTATCTGAAGTATTTTAGACCCAGGACAACTGACAACACGACAATGATTTATAATAAATCTGAAGTATTTTAGACCCGGGACAACTGACAACACGACAACGATTTATAATAAATCTGAAGTATTTTAGACCCGGGACAACTGACAACACGACAACGATTTATAATAAATCTGAAGTATTTTAGACCCGGGACAACTGACAACACGACAACGATTTATCTCAAGTATTTTAGACCCGGGACAATTGACAACACGACACCAATTTATCTGAAGTATTTTAGACCCGGGACAACTGACAACAATACACCAATTTATCTGAAGTATTTTAGACCCAGGACAACTGACAACACGACAATGATTTATCTTAAGTATTTTAGACCCGGGACAATTGACAACACGACACCGATTTATCTGAAGTATTTTAGACCCGGGACAACTGACAACACGACACCGATTTATCTGAAGTAGTTCAGACCCGGGACAACTGACAACACGACAACGATTTATCTTAAGTATTTTAGACCCGGGACAATTGACAACACGACACCGATTTATCTGAAGTAGTTCAGACCCGGGACAACTGACAACACGACAACGATTTATCTTAAGTATATTAGACCCGGGACAACTGACAACACGACACCGATTTATCTGAAGTAGTTCAGACCCGGGACAACTGACAACACGACAACGATTTATCTTAAGTATTTTAGACCCGGGACAATTGACAACACGACACCGATTTATCTGAAGTAGTTCAGACCCGGGACAACTGACAACACGATAACGATTTATCTGAAGTATTTTAGACCCGGGACAACTGACAACACGACACCAATTTATCTGAAGTATTTTAGACCCGGGACAACTGACAACAATACACCGATTTATCTGAAGTATTTTAGACCCCGGACAACTGACAACACGACAATGATTTATAATAAATCTGAAGTAGTTTAGACCCGGGACAACTGACAACACGACACCGATTTATCTGAAGTATTTTAGACCCGGGACAATTGACAACACGACACCAATTTATCTTAAGTATTTTAGACCCGGGACAATTGACAACACGACACCGATTTATCTGAAGTATTTTAGACCCGGGACAATTGACAACACGACACCAATTTATCTGAAGTATTTTAGACCCGGGACAACTGACAACACGACACCGATTTATCTGAAGTAGTTCAGACCCAGGACAATTGACAACACGACAACGATTTATCTGAAGTATTAGCTAAAACCAATGTATACACCAAGTTTCATAATAGTAGTTTTAAATGCAAGCAAAGTTATGGTACATACACGAAATTTTAGCAGAGGCAACAAGTCTCTGATTGAGGGATTGCAGAACCCGACTTTCAGTACATCGTCTTCGTATTATCACGGACTTGTATATTATTTAAGTCCGTGATATTATCAATGTATACACAAAGTCTCATTGTCTTAGTTTAAATGCAAGTCAAATTATGCCCCATACGTAATATTTAAACAAAGGGCGATTACTAAGTAATAAATGGGGGCTTTTTTGGCCTGATTTTGTACACTGCACGTTGCTTTGATTTGCCAGTCTGTACAGCAAGTTTTGTTATCCTTGTTTAGATGCAAGCCAAGCTATGATCAGGACATGATGGGTTTTAACAAAGGGAGATAACTGTGTAATTGAAAGGTTGCGGACCCTGATTTTGGTACTTCCACATCGTTAGCACGACCGATGTATACAGCAAGTTCCGTGATCTTTGTTTTTGACTATGGTAAAGTAATGCTTCGGACATAGAAGGACAGACGGAGGGACGGACAAAGTGGCAACTATATACGCTCTTCCGAAAATTTCGAGGAGCATTAAAATATCAGCACTTGAATTGAGTATCAGTCATAAGAATATCTTATCTCTTCCAAAAATGCATAGTTTATGATTGCGAACGCACATTTTCAAAACTAATACATGGAGCACAGTGATGTCAAGGTAAAATTGTCCATAAAAGTCACTGAAATTGACGGCAATTATTTACAGTGCATAGTCCCGATTTTTTCCCCCAAATATAACTAATACGGCCATTAACTGGGTTATTCGTATGTCATTTGAAGTGCTGTATTACATCTACCTTTAACTGAGGTGTGATGATGTAAATCACGAAAACAACTAAAACATCTTAACATAAAAGATAAATGATAAACAAAAGAACAATTCGTGTTGACGGAACCAGAGCTTGTTAAGTGAATATCTTTTATGTTACGATGTCTTTATAGTTTTCATGATTTCTTTTGTCATTATCAATTAGAGAAAGTAAAAATTTCAGCAAAAATGATGTAATCTCATTTTTTTCCCCGCAGCATGCCATCTCCGTTTTCATTTTATATATTAGTACTTATAAGACTAGCCAATGAAGTCAAATGTTACAAGCGTGATTACTGTTTCTATCATCGACAATTCTGATTGGCTAGCCGAAGAGGTCGAAAGGTTCATTCAAGATGGAACCCGTAGGAGGAAGACTCTATCAATATTCACAACAAATATGATACATTTTGAATGATGTCTACGTCACATTAAAATTTAAGGTAAGCAGATGTTCGTATACACGTCTCAACAACTCTGTTGAATATGAGAGTGTGCGTTTACGAAAAACGCACGAATAGTGACAAGCAACAGCTGTGGATACTCGGGGGATTATGTTCATGTTTTGCAACGTGAACTCCTGCAATATGACTGACTGACAGTGGAAAAGATGTAAGCTGTTCTTGCGTTTTTAAACTCCTGCAAATGTTAACACGTGTATGCAGTCACACTGATAAAAGATATTGTTCTCTGTTGTACTGGTATATATTTAACCATGTAATTTGAAGTTGACTTAGAATTCATTCGCATCTCATTATTTTTGTTCATGTTCTGTACATGGAGATACATATGACAGGCACTATCAGATAACGAAAGGATCGACAAGTGGCCTGTTATGTTTCGTATAATGTTACTGCATTTGAAATGTACCTCCGACACACAGGGCAGGCAAACTGGAAACGGAAGCTGGCATTTAAGTGTACCACAATTCGATAGAAATAACCACTTCTGTTCCAGTTCTCGAGTTTAAAACTTTTTTTTCAACTCTAGCTGTAATTCCATTTTCTGCTGCTGTTATATATATAGTTCTGTATCAACTAACTATTAGCTATCCATTGTGGCATTTTTGTCTGGCAAGGTTGACAAATCTACATAATTATGTTTACTGCATGTCTAGTTATCACTCTCAACATCTCTCAGATGATTATAAGTCATGAGTGTCTGCATCACCAGATATCTCCACATGTTTACAATTTTCATGGATAAAATGAAGTAAGAAAATGACATATATAACTTGAAGGCAATATTGTGTGTTATTACGAATGAGAACAATATATATAACAAGAAAATAATGACAAATCATCAGATATCTCAGACTTTTCAATTTAAACAGACCAATTATAAGACATCACAAAGTATCATGTAGCAAGAGGTTAGTTATTTTAAATTGAATTCAATATTAGTCTTTAGTTTAAACTTTATTATTGTGTATTGAAGTGGTACATACATCATACAAAAAATGAAAGGATTCTGAAATAAATATGTGGTACTTACATAAATCTGTCTCCTTATATTCTTAGCACAACAATGGGACAGTACTGACAATAGTCCATGTATGAGTTAGATATTGCATGTGCAAAGATAGAGAGAAGAGAGAAAGTAAAGTGTGCAAGAGTTTAGACTTGGATAATGCTGAGGGTTCGTGACAACATTTCTGGAATATACACACATTATTGACAATATGTCATGTCTTAATCAGTTTTTAATTTAAGCAGTTAACAGATAATTTGTAATGCATATGTAGTAATTCACAGTAAGTTTCCGGGGACAATTTAAACATAACTTTGACTTTTATTGTAGATGTACTGGCTAGATGGTGGCTGGAAGTGGCCAGTCCTTGGCCTTGTCCTGTTCTTATTCACTTTCGGATCTCTGGGATTGTTGTCTATTTTCTACATCCTGTGTATTTCAGTGGGGTAAGTGAACCATGTGTACAAAGAATTAATCAATGGTGAGACAGCTAAGAAAAAACTGCATTTCAAGTAACAGATTATAATATCTTGATATTGTGTTCCATTTTGTTAGAAACATTTGCATTTATCCAATTACAGGAGAAAGTCAAACTTTATATGTATATTCTGCAGTTATCAATATTTTTCATTTTACTCTAATATGATGCATCATAAACAGTATAAATGGCAATTTCCAGTTTTTGGCTTACATTAATTGTTGTTTTGTTTGTTTTATAGTGGCCTTGTGATAGCATTTTACTATGGTCGGCAGTTATCTATTACTTCCCTTCAGGATGGCAATATTGACCTTTGTCGTTCACGTTCAGGTGTGCTCAAGGTAAGCACTCATACTCACTTGGGATTTATTTAAAGTATGGTCAATGGAAGTAATGATTATGCTTAAGGTAGGCACTCGTGCATGGGAGTGATCAAACAAGGTATGGCTCATACACAGGTGTGTTCAATATATGGCTATATTCAGATGTACTCAAGATATGGTTCATACTCAAGTGTAATAAAGGTGCAGCTCATACTTAGGTGTGTTCAGGATATGAATCATACTCATGGTTTGCATCATGCATAGATAGACATCATACTCAGGTAAACTCAGGGTGTTTAACATATTCTCTGGTACTCAAACTATAGCTCATCTTCAGCTGTAATTAAAGTAAGTATCCTACCTGGTGCTAACATGGTATGGATCATATTTACATGTATGTAAGGTAAAACTGGTACATTAAACCTTACAGATACATTGGGCTATTCAGACCTATTAGATTTTTGTTTGTTTGGTTTTTGCAGGTTATGAAGTGCATGGAAAATATGACAAAGATTAAAAATTTTGACAGGCGGATGACAGGAGCTAGTGTCATAGATGAAGCTTTACAGGAGGTTTGTAGGAAAGCACTTCATGTTTTCTTTTATATACTGAATATAATGTCCAGTTTTTAGTTATTCCATGTGAAGATGATTCATCCTGAGTAATGCTATGACTTTTATGATAAAATAATAATTATGATTAACATCAGAAAATTATCTTGAAAGAGGAATTTAATCACCAACACTAACAAAGAGGGTTCTGTATTAAAAGGAAAGTTTTTTTTCCTAACTCAATCGTGATGTTCATCCGGTTTTATGCACAACCTTGACCTAATGATCACTTTATACTCACAACAGGTGCTGGGATGTGCCATGCGTGATTACATCAAGTCCTGGTACCGTCAAGTCAGCGACCATGATGGTTATCTGCTAGATATCCGTCAATGTGTCCAGAAAATAGCGATAACATTTGCATCTAGGTAATGATTGGTTGAAATAGTTGTATCTGATTCATATTTACCCCATAGTATTATAACATTAGGTTCTTCATCTTATAGACAGGGTCACTTTAGGTATAGCTATGACTTTCTCATGACATCCATTGTGTCTGCCTGTCCATCAAACATCTGTTGTGTCTGTCTGCCCATCAAACATCTGATGTGTCTGTCTGTTCCATCAAACATCTGTTGTGTCCATCTGTCCATTACACATCTTTTGTGCCTGTCTGTCTATCAAATATCTGCTGTGCCTGTCTGTCCATCACACATTTGTTGTCTGTCTGTCCATCAAACAACTGTTGTGTCTGTCTGTCCAGCACACATCTGTTTTATCCATCTCTCCATCACACATTTGTTGTGTCTGTCTGTCCATCAAACAACTGTTGTGTCTGTCTGTCCAGCACACATTTGTTTTATCCATCTCTCCATTACACATGTTTTGTGTCTGTCTATCTGTCCATCAAACATCTGTTGTGTCCATCAAACATCTGCTGTGTCCATCTGCCCATCATGGTAAGGACTTTTAGGTTACCATAGACAAAGTCATTTCTGTGACTCAGGTGATCGTTCAGGCTCTTGGGCCTCTTGAATGTTTACTTTTCATTGAGTCAGTATTTATTTTAGAAAGCTGGAGGATTTTGGTTTTGGTCTGGCAATTAATGTTATTCACAACACATTTACATTTTGAAAAAATAGAGCTCAAAGAATCTTCTACATAGAAGCATACATGTTTAATTCTTTGGTAGTACAGGAAATTTATTACACATATTAAAAATTATAGATCTTCTACATAGAAGCATACATGTTTAATTCTTTGGTAGTACAGGAAATTTATTACACATGTTAAAAATTATAGATCGAAAGACGTGGATTGGATGCCATATTTTACACAACGTTTAGTGGATGATTTCGCATCTCACATACGACTGTATAGACGTGCACTGGAGCGTGTGAAGATCTCTCCGAGAGATGGTAAGTGTCATGTGATCAGGTGTAGCTGGATAGTTTTAACAAATTCTATATCCTAGATCTCTGATGTTGCTTTGAAATATATACCATGATCATGATGAAATTTAAATTAACAACAAAATAGTCTAGTTATTTCCCTTGTACAGCAACTTTTTAAAATTTTATTGCTGACAAATGGAGTTTTGTTGTAATCCATAATATACTTAAAGTTTTTAATTCTCAGATTAGTGAGTTATGTTACAGTTTTAAATTTCTGTAGGTTTATTCAATATTTTACCAACAGAATTCACCAAGTGAATTTTTGCATTGAAATTTATGCCTTGCAGTGAGGAGAGATTTTAATAAAATTTTCTTGCGCTATTGGGCAAAAATATATTCTTCCTTCCCAGAAACTCTTTTTTTTTCTTTTTGTTAGAGTTGGACAAAAGTATTTAGATTTTCTAATGATGTTCAACATGTATGACATCCATTGCAGATGAGTATGAGAAGGAGGTAGAAACAGCATTCTTTGACCTGGAGTACAATATGGAGAAGATGTGTCGGGACCTAGTTAGTACCTCACCAGAGGATGAAAGGCGTAAGTTAACCAGTATCTTATATTAGCCAAGTCCATACAGGTAGGTAAGACTTTACCAGTATCTTATATTTATACCAAGTCCATACAGGTAGGTAAGACTTCACCAGTATCTTATATTTATACCAAGTCCATACAGCTAGGTAAGACTTCACCAGTATCTTATATTTATACCAAGTCCATGCTGCTAGGTAAGACTTCACCAGTATCTTATATTTATACCAAGTCCATACAGGTAGGTAAGACTTCACCAGTATCTTATATTTATACCAAGTCCATGCTGCTAGGTAAGACTTCACCAGTATCTTATATTTATACCAAGTCCATACAGCTAGGTAAGACTTCACCAGTATCTTATATTTATACCAAGTCCATACAGGTAGGTAAGACTTCACCAGTATCTTATATAAGCCAAGTCCATGCTGCTAGGTAAGACTTCACCAGTATCTTATATTTATACCAAGTCCATACAGCTAGGTAAGACTTCACCAGTATCTTATATTTATACCAAGTCCATACAGCTAGGTAAGACTTCACCAGTATCTTATATTTATACCAAGTCCATGCTGCTAGGTAAGACTTCACCAGTATCTTATATTTATACCAAGTCCATACAGCTAGGTAAGACTTCACCAGTATCTTATATTTATACCAAGTCCATACAGCTAGGTAAGACTTCACCAGTATCTTATATTTATACCAAGTCCATACAGCTAGGTAAGACTTCACCAGTATCTTATATTTATACCAAGTCCATACAGCTAGGTAAGACTTCACCAGTATCTTATATTTATACCAAGTCCATACAGCTAGGTAAGACTTCACCAGTATCTTATATAAGCCAAGTCCATACAGGTAGGTAAGACTTCACCAGTATCTTATATTTATACCAAGTCCATACAGGTAGGTAAGACTTCACCAGTATCTTATATTTATACCAAGTCCATGCTGCTAGGTAAGACTTCACCAGTATCTTATATTTATACCAACCAAGTCTATACCAAGTCCATGCTGCTAGGTAAGACTTCACCAGTATCTTATATTTATACCAAGTCCATACAGCTAGGTAAGACTTTACCGGTATCTTATATTTATACCAAGTCCATGCTGCTAGGTAAGACTTCACCAGTATCTTATATTTATACCAAGTCCATGCTGCTAGGTAAGACTTCACCAGTATCTTATATTTATACCAAGTCCATGCTGCTAGGTAAGACTTCACCAGTATCTTATATTTATACCAAGTCCATGCTGCTAGGTAAGACTTCACCAGTATCTTATATTTATACCAAGTCCATGCTGCTAGGTAAGACTTCACCAGTATCTTATATTTATACCAAGTCCATGCTGCTAGGTAAGACTTTACCAGTATCTTATATTTATACCAAGTCCATGCTGCTAGGTAAGACTTTACCGGTGGATGAAAAGTTTATGAATATCTGATCTTTACATTGATTATTATCTCATATTAACACAAAGCCTGTGTAGCTTGGAAATACCCAGAAGGCAGAAGTCTGCCAGTACGTTATATCTGCAGCAAGTCCAAGCAGCCTATTGCTGCTAAATGATTTGAAAGACTTAGTATTTATATTTATACCAAGTCCATTTCCTAATAAGACTTCAAACATTTATCTTACATGTATATACCAAGTCACATGGAAAAGGTAAGATTCTTACCAACTGTGTGATAAAATCTGAAGTTCAAAGTTTAAATAATAATGACAAAGGATAGTGTTAAGGGTGTTTAGAAAAAACTTGTAAAAGAGAGTATTCTTATAAAAATTAATCACCCATTCAAATGTAGTAGTTGTTTTCACTATGTACACAAATGATATATGGACTCAGCCAGTCATGAAATTGTTGACCATGTCACAGGAATTGAAATAAAGAAAATAAAAAGTTTTCCTCTCTGTTACAGAATATCTACAGGACCTTAGCGAAGTTTTACTCTACCTTCTGCTTCCCACTGAAGATTTCCAAAACAAGACATTTAGATATATTTTAAGGGTGAGAACTCCATATACATTGAAGACCTGTAAATCCAGTTCCATCTATTAAACAGATATTACCAGTCAATTCAGCTACTTTATAATTATAATGAAATTTTGTGTCTATGCTTGCTGCTGTTGTTATGAGACACAGACACTAGTGTAATGTATGTGATGCAAAATCTGGTGAAATAATTGTGTCAGCTACATAATAAAGGTTATTCCAGTAAAACAGCTATCTTCTTACTTTAGGAATCCACATGTTATTTTAGGGGTATCACCCAGAGATTATAATTTATAACTTGCTTAGAAGTAATAGACCGGAAACTTGGATAGAAGGGATTTATTTAGAGTTATGGGGTCAGTGAGATGTTTTACTGGAATAGTGCAAACTTACGAGAGTTTAGAGATTGAATTCTGTGATGGAAATGATAAAGGCCGATCCTGTGAACATGTGGTGGTTGTAAATACCAGTACTTTATTGTATAAACTGTATGACTGCTATAGATAGAGGCTGTTATATATCTATTACAGGAAGTTTTAGTCAATGGTATATTGATGCCGACTGTAGACCTTATCGCAGATCCAGACTACGTCAATCAAAACATGTCATGGTTGGTGAGTATTGTCTTTGTTTTTATGTCAATATTTTCACAATATAATAGATACTGAATCTTAATACTTCAACTAGTTTTCCAAAAATATTTTTTGAGATGTTTTGTGTTAATATTGATTTTCTGCAAAATCTATTTACTTTGAACAGGAAAGAATTTTCGTTATGAAATATTCTATTTTTTTAATATATGTTAAGTACCTGGTAGTGAAGAACTGATAAGTTAGAGTCACTTATCTTCTGTATTCAAGGTTTACATTGTGTATCTAATGGGATAGAAGCATCAGCCATTCAAATTCACTATAAATCAGTATCGGTAGAGGAACTCCTATAAAAGATGTCACACTGATTTGAACAGATTCAGTTGAATTTTGACTGTAGTAATAAATATTTTGTTTCAGTGTAAGGAGACTACTTTTAGTAATGAGACATTCCTAAATGTTTTAAAAAGTTCAGACAATGTAGCAGAACTAGAGGCTGTTAAAGAAATAACAGAACAAAATATAGCTAAATGGCGATCCCAAGACACTGGGGGAAGTGATGGTGAGTAACACGGCGTTGTGGGTAGAGTAATAGAAGCTGGTATTTCTGTACTATTACATCAGAGCTATACATTCAAATGATAATTGATGTTGTAAGGCTTCAGGATCAGGAAACAAGTCATATTTTGATGAAATTTATGAGTTTAGATAGATTTGAATTTCTTAAGGTAATGAGTCAGAATAGTAAAATTATCTCCATGAAATTTCACTTAATTAAGGACCAAAATAATGGTAATTTTCTTTTCAAAATTTTGTTTTTGCATTAATGATCTGTGAGACATAAAAACAGAATGTTCTTTTCTCAGGTTTAAGTTAAGGTTAAGGTTTCCTCAATATAATTAATGAATTCTAGTATATATGTTTACAGACTCTGTGGTGAAACAAAATTTAAACAGTCTGCTATTTGTCAAGTCTATATGTGAGGGCAGAATTAAACGTATAGAAGTGGGAATGGATGACCCAGAGCTCTGTCATGATGTAAGTATATATAATTTTACCACAAAGTACACTTTAACTTTACATAAATGCTTGCAATTTGTAGTGAATAATACTGACATCAGTATAACAGATTGTGATATTTTTTTAATACATTGAATGGTAGAAAAATAATATACATACAAAAGAAAATATAGAGAAGAATAGTTGAAAATTGGGCATTTTAAATTTTTTTTCCCATATTTTTCATATGTTTGACAATAAAGTATTTATTAAGTAATATGTGTTGTGAATGTACGTAGTTTGGTACATTACAATTTCAATATCAGCTGTCCGGTGTTCGATCAGTGACATCTTAAAGACTGTTATCAGTGTTAACATTGAAATAATGTTAAAGAGTTGTTAGTGCCTTTTCATCAAATGATTAATTGATTGTTATTTTTTTCCAGATTTCAGAATTTTGCAGAGCTAAAAATATATTTGTACTTAGCCTAGATGAAATTATAGAAAACAACATTGCTTTGGCAGTATTTATTGGTAAGTATCTAGTATCTTGTATATGATTCTATACATAACGTCTCAAACTTACTCACCGCATGAGAGGTACAAGTTGTTATCAAGCTTTTAGAAATCATTCTTTTAAAATCAGAAAATTGGAAAAAATACCAGACAACTCATTTCAATGGTATGTTTTTTCTTTATATTTAGTTTGATGTTCATTGTAAAAAGAATTTTTTGAACAACAACTTCCAAATGTTTTTTTATTTCTTGGTAATGGATGTGATATCTGTAAATATTGCTGATTTTGCAGAGTTTATGAGCAGTGTAGGCGGACAGCAGTACTTATTCTTTTATTTAAATGTGGAGGTAAGATTGATCTACTAGCAACACAATATGAAACTTTTTATACTGTATATTATTCTCATAAACATCTGTTATTCAGTGAGTTCACCAATATCATATTAATGCATATAATCTATTTGATATGATCTATTGTGATGTCATGCAACAATGAAAACAGTGGTCAGGTGACACAATAGAAATGCATTCAGATTTCACCTAGGTGTGCGAGATTCCCACAGACCTGTAGTTATATTATTATAGAATTATTATCTTTTGAAACAATACATGTTTATTGACTATTAAGAGATCACTGGTTACATTTTGATCTTCGAAGCGTTTTTTTTTGGATACCATGACGAAACCAGCTTGTAGAAAGCATATTTCTGCTTGTGTATTGGTGAAGTTAGCGTTGACATATCAATATGCAGAATGGTGATTTAGACTTAATATGATTGATGTTTGTTAAAATCTTTACGAATCTTACAATTATTGTGATAGTCTTGAATGATTATCTTATTAAAATGTGAAGTGAACGAATGTTGTTCTTTGATAAAACAAATGGCAACATCCCATGGTCCATATATATTTACCGATCGCTTAGCTTGTAATACAGAGTTGGGGCCTCGAGCTGCATCAGCTGGCACACACACGATTGTCATTTTTAACTTTCTACCCACAATGTTTATCTTCAATGTGATTAGTGACCACATGGAGTGATTATTGCTACTCCAATACCTTTATCAATGGTTAAATGTACACTGACAATAAGTTCAAACCGTTCAAAATGTAAATGAAACAAAATAGAAAAATAGTCATGTTTTCAAACTAAGCGCCTAATCAAACTGACCAGAGGTTTACCAGTTATTCTCTTACCTGGACCGCTAACTTAATCCTTCTTTTCCCTCGGGTTGAGATCCACCTATCACACCTGCAAGGGGGTGAAAGATTCTATTAGTCAGTCTAAGAGCACTATAAAACCAGAAACATGTGAGAATCTGAGACAAAGTTGTGTTTGTACAGGGGTTCCGGGCAGCAGCAGAGCAGCAAATATCAGCGGCTCATCAACAGGCTATGGGTGGCACAGCCCTTGAAGCAGACCTGGAATCTCTACGACGGGCGGCTATGATTATACATGATCAGTATTTATCTGACAAGGTGGGTGTGGTGATCACTTCAAGATTACCTCTGTCCTTTAAGCCTACCAACATTGCAGTTAATGGCTTATGTAAATGCTGAAAATCGTGTCACTTGTGAATTTTAATCATTTTTAGAATTTTGACAAAATTTCTATTTGAGCACAACTGTTGGAAAGAAGATCATACTAACAACGTTTGGAAACATCCAATTGTCTTTAATGTAGATTCATTGAGCCAAAGAAATTGTTCCCAAATAAACTGGTTAAGTGTTATTCTTTCAAAAAATATTTGACTCATTTGATGGAAGTTGGCGAGGGATATTCAGATGGGTCCCTCTGTCTGTCCTTCCGTCCTTCCTTCCCTCCGTCTGGATGCTGCTTTCCACATGATATTTTTTGAAGGACTGGTCAGATTTTTATGAAACTTGGTTGTACACTTGTTACACTTGTTACCTTAATTCCTTGCCCAAGTTTGATTAAGGGGAATCACTCTTGCATGGTGTTTTCCACATGGTTTCTTTTGATGGACTAGTCCGATTTTGATGAAACTTGGTTATTACAGTTGATACCTTTATCCCTGCTTAAGAACGATGAATGGCAAATTCTGCACGTGTTTGATAAGGCTGCTATGACCTGATCCACTGAAATCTTTCAGCACTCTTACTGAATACTTTCTGCATGTTATCTTTTGAAGAAACAAATGAATTTTGATGAGACTCACTTGGAAAACTTACATAATCTCCTCCCTCGAGTTTGATCAAACGTAAATTCCATGCATATTCAATCATGGTGCTCTTACCTGATTGGTTGATTTCTTTAAACAGTCTTGAGGATCGCTTTCAACATTTCTTTCAAAGGAATGAGCAAATTTTTTAGGAGATGTGCTTAGCAGACTAAGTGCCTTAACTACTCTCTTAGGTTTGATTATCAGCTAAATCTGCAAATATGTAACGAGGCAGCTGTGACCTGAATGGCTGATTGCCTTGCCTAGAATATCTTCTGAAGTAATAATAAGATATAAGAGACCTTTAAAGGACTATGAACATATCTCTCACCGATTTGGAAAAGGATTTGGAGAAGAATAAGAATGATAAGAAACAGAACAATAACAAAAGGTCTTTTCACCAGTTGGTAAAGAAAGACTTTATAAACCTATGATAGTGAATCTCCAAAATGATTTTGGAAATCTAATGTTCTGAATTATGTTTCACTATCTCTTGTTATGATTTGTTTTTGTTTTACTGGTACAGTGTAGTAAATTTCTTACAATTTTACATATCTGCCTATTAGATGCTGTGTTGTGTTTTATTAATGTGTATAAACCATTTCACTGTTTTGTCATACTTAAGAGGTAATAGAATCATTGACTGATCCAGCATCACTGAAATTAAGTGACAAATAATCTATCATTACATTAGGTACAAGAAGGAAATATAAAGGTATAAGCTGTGAAAGTATAATGCTACTTAATTGTTATTTTATTTATTCCTTTCAACATAACTGAACTGAACGTAAACAATTAATGGTTTAAATACTTTTACATTTAAATAGTTGTCCATGTTGCTCGCTTGCAACATATATATTTACAAATGAGAATGGGTGGGGATCTTGATGATGATGTCCTTGTTTTGATGTCAGGTTTTCGATCCATTACTGTTACAGGCTACATCCAAAATAAGGATAGAAGCTGATATAATAAAAAGGACACTTCAGAAAATCAAGAGCAAAAACTTGTCTGAAGATGTTTTTGATGAGGTTCAAGCTAAGGTAATGTATTGTTCATGTTTCATTGTAACAACTCTTTCTGATCCTGTCTCAAATGTTGGCCTGTTATTGACAAAGGGTGATGATACACAATCTGACATATAGTTCAGCTTACTATAGGTCATTGATACTGAGGGTGACAATACACAATCTGACATATAGTAAGGCTTATTATAGGTCATTGATACTGAGGGTGACAATACACAATCTGACATATAGTAAGGCTTACAATAGGTCATTGATACTGAGGGTGACAATACACAATCTGACATATAGTAAGGCTTATTATAGGTCATTGATACTGAGGGTGACAATACACAATCTGACATATAGTAAGCTTACAATAGGTCATTGATACTGAGGGTGACAATACACAATCTGACATATAGTAAGGCTTATTATATCATTGATACTGAGGGTGACAATACACAATCTGACATATTGCTTATAGGTCATTGATACTGAGGGTGACAATACACAATCTGACTGACATTGATACTGAGGGTGACAATACACAATCTGACATATAGTAAGGCTTATTATAGATCATTGATACTGAGGGTGACAATACACAATCTGACATATAGTAAGGCTTAATATAGATCATTGATACGGAGGGTGACAATACACAATCTGACATATAGTTCAGCTTACTATAGGTCATTAATACTGAGGTTGACAATACACAATCTGACATATAGTTCAGCTTATTATAGGTCAGTGGTACTGAGGGTGACAATACACAATCTGACATATAGTAAGGCTTACTATAGGTCATTGATACGGAGGGTGACAATACACAATTTGACATATAGTAAGGCTTAATATAGATCATTGATACTGAGGGTGACAATACACAATCTGACATGTAGTTCAGCTTACTATAGGTCATTGATACTGAGGTTGACAATACACAATCTGACATATAGTAAGGCTTACAATAGGTCATTGATACTGAGGGTGACAATACACAATCTGACATATAGTAAGGCTTATTATAGATCATTGATACTGAGGGTGACGATACACAATCTGACATATAGTAAGGCTTGTTATAGATCATTGATACTGAGGTTGACAATACACAATCTGACATATAGTAAGGCTTATTATAGATCATTGATACTGAGGGTGACAATACACAATCTGACATATAGTAAGGCTTATTATAGGTCATTGATACGGAGGGTGACAATACACAATCTGACATATAGTAAGGCTTACTATAGGTCATTGATACTGAGGGTGACAATACACAATTTGACATATAGTAAGGCTTAATATAGATCATTGATACTGAGGGTGACAATACACAATCTGACATGTAGTTCAGCTTACTATAGGTCATTGATACTGAGGTTGACAATACACAATCTGACATATAGTAAGGCTTATTATAGGTCAGTGGTACTGAGGGTGACAATACACAATCTGACATATAGTAAGGCTTATTATAGGTCATTGATACTGAGGGTGACAATACACAGTCTGACATATAGTAAGGCTTATTATAGATCATTGATACTGAGGGTGACAATACACAATCTGACATATAGTAAGGCTTATTATAGATCATTGATACTGAGGGTGACAATACACAATCTGACATATAGTAAGGCTTATTATAGATCATTGATATGGAGGGTGACAATACACAATCTGACATATAGTAAGGCTTAATATAGATCATTGATACTGAGGGTGACAATACACAATCTGACATATAGTAAGGCTTATTATAGATCATTGATACTGAGGGTGACAATACACAATCTGACATATAGTAAGGCTTATTATAGATCATTGATACTGAGGGTGACAATACACAATCTGACATATAGTAAGGCTTATTATAGGTCATTGATACGGAGGGTGACAATACACAATCTGACATATAGTAAGGCTTACTATAGGTCATTGATACTGAGGGTGACAATACACAATTTGACATATAGTAAGGCTTAATATAGATCATTGATACTGAGGGTGACAATACACAATCTGACATGTAGTTCAGCTTACTATAGGTCATTGATACTGAGGTTGACAATACACAATCTGACATATAGTAAGGCTTATTATAGGTCATTGATACTGAGGGTGACAATACACAATCTGACATATAGTAAGGCTTATTATAGATCATTGATACTGAGGGTGACAATACACAATCTGACATATAGTAAGGCTTATTATAGATCATTGATACGGAGGTTGACAATACACAATCTGACATATAGTAAGGCTTATTATAGATCATTGATACTGAGGGTGACAATACACAATCTGACATATAGTAAGGCTTATTATAGGTCATTGATACGGAGGGTGACAATACACAATCTGACATATAGTAAGGCTTACTATAGGTCATTGATACTGAGGGTGACAATACACAATTTGACATATAGTAAGGCTTAATATAGATCATTGATACTGAGGGTGACAATACACAATCTGACATGTAGTTCAGCTTACTATAGGTCATTGATACTGAGGTTGAGGGTGACAATACACAATCTGACATATAGTAAGGCTTATTATAGGTCAGTGGTACTGAGGGTGACAATACACAATCTGACATATAGTAAGGCTTATTATAGATCATTGATATGGAGGGTGACAATACACAATCTGACATATAGTAAGGCTTATTATAGATCATTGATACGGAGGGTGACAATACACAATCTGACATATAGTAAGGCTTATTATAGATCATTGATACTGAGGCCGACGATACACAATCTGACATATAGTAAGGCTTGTTATAGATCATTGATACTGAGGTTGACAATACACAATCTGACATATAGTAAGGCTTATTATAGATCATTGATACGGAGGGTGACAATACACAATCTGACATATAGTAAGGCTTATTATAGATCATTGATATGGAGGGTGACAATACACAATCTGACATATAGTAAGGCTTAATATAGATCATTGATACTGAGGGTGACAATACACAATCTGACATATAGTAAGGCTTAATATAGATCATTGATACTGAGGGTGACAATACACAATCTGACATGTAGTTCAGCTTACTATAGGTCATTGATACTGAGGGTGACAATACACAATCTGACATATAGTAAGGCTTATTATAGGTCATTGATACTGAGGGTGACAATACACAATCTGACATATAGTTCAGCTTACAATAGGTCATTGATACTGAGGGTGACAATACACAGTCTGACATATAGTAAGGCTTATTATAGATCATTGATACTGAGGGTGACAATACACAATCTGACATATAGTAAGGCTTATTATAGATCATTGATACGGAGGGTGACAATACACAATCTGACATATAGTAAGGCTTATTATAGATCATTGATACTGAGGGTGACAATACACAATCTGACATATAGTAAGGCTTATTATAGGTCAGTGGTACTGAGGGTGACAATACACAATCTGACATATAGTAAGGCTTGTTATAGATCATTGATACTGAGGTTGACAATACACAATCTGACATATAGTAAGGCTTATTATAGGTCATTGATACAACAGTTGTTGGATATTCTACTGGAACTTAATTAGATTTGTTACCAGACATAGGCATATTTCTGTATAACCTATCATTAACACAGGGTGATGATGAACTGGTACAGTTAACCATCAACTACCACGATTATTGTATATCAGGTATAACAGGTTTCATGGTTGTCTGGTGGTGCAGTAGTTTTCTCTTTAGTAACACCCCATGCTTGCCTCATTGGATGGTTTGGTGGCGTAGTTGTAAAACATTCACCTTTAACTTAGCAGTGATGTAATTGGATTGGATAAAGGATAATGTACATGACCACATGGGATTTCCCAGGGTACTCTTATTTCCTTTCACAATAACTTTCCTGGCGTGCTATTCACACGGGCCTACAAACGTTATTTATATAAGTTCAAAGCTTGTTTTGCAATTGTGGTAAAATGAATAAAGTTTCAATTTATTTTTATCGGGACCACCAAAATTGATAAGTAATATGAGCTTTAACAATTGTTGTGAAATAAATGAAATTTATATTTATATTCATTTCATTGTTTTTTTCTTTGAGGGAAATTTGAGGTCATGTTAATAATTTTAAAACTTAGTTAATACTGGAACATAACCGATCCTGTAGAGAAGGTGGTTGTACATTTACGTGTATATAAACTTCAGGTTTACCAGATCTTACACGGGGAACAGTACTATGAGAGTTTTCTCCAGAGTAATGTATACATGAAGCTCCTTCAGGAACTTGGTCTGATGTCCGACAGCAAGACAGAGGATGGAGACAATCTTAGTCTGGATGATGGTAAGGGTCTCAGGGGATACATACTATCTCTGTTACCATTCTAGAAACATTGTATCGCTTGATGCGCCTCAAATTAATAACTCAGTTCCTAATTTGTTGGGTATCTCTTGTTTGGGTATATCAGTTAAGATATTTGTTACATCACTAAACACCAAAAGTTCCGCTGTAATTAGAATGTGAAATCTGAAGCGTGTGGTATTTTTTCTTTTATTTTGATTAATAAGTAGAAGAGAGTTGATAACTTATCAGTCTGTGTTTTGTTTAACCTGTTAAAAAACAAAAAATTGTGTTGCTCAGAATTTTTGTTCAAATTTTTGCTATAAATGATAAGTATAATTATGTATATGTTGCTAATTTTTTAAACTTTAGGCAAACATTTTCAGAGACTAATGTTAAAGCACAAGAGACATTTTATATCCTGATCTTCAAATTCTGTAGAGAATAAAATCACGATATGAAGTTCATTAGTAAGCGTAAAATTGATTTGAAACACTACAAATTAGCTACCTGACTGTACGTAATAAACAACTTAATTATCAGGTTAGTGTTTCTGTTGCTGTAGATGTAGACTAGTAGTATATAGGATGTCTCAATTTTCCAGTGCCCAGGATTATATGGTTCAAAGTTAATCTGGTAAAATTCTACATGTGTTTTTTTTTTTTTTGCATCAGACTGGTGTAGAATGTGCCACCTATTTAGTTATTTGTAACAAATATTCTAAAATTTCAATTGGTTATTTATTATTAAATGTCTCAATCTTCATTGTTAAAATTTATTGGTGTTTAATACCTATGTTTATTCTTTTTATCCAAACATATGCTTTAATACTAAGATAATTGGTAAGGAAGCAGATAGTTTACGCTGAGAACCTATTTTATTAACCACTAATTAAAAAGTTTCAGACCAATTTTAGTAAACCCTACAAACTTTGATGGATCACTATCTATAATAGCTCTAGGTTTCCTATCAATTCTGGGTTTTACTTTTGTTACTAATTGAAATTTTAGAATAATTTACAGTACATGTGTTGTGATGTGTCTATAATATGTTTGTGTGTTATCTATATCAAAACCTATTCACTTCTCCCATGCATCTAAAATATACAACATTGTTATTCATGAAATTTTGTTATAATGAATTCATGAAATATTCTTCTTGAGAAGAAATTCCTTTATCTGACATAAACAGAAAATTGACAACAAGATATATGTTTAGGGATTACGATGAATTATTGTAAGGATTAGGGAAGGAAAGTAGTCTTCTATTAAAAAATTTAGCTGTGTTGGAGAGATGGATGAACTAACTTTTGATACGTGTATAACTTAATTTGCATGATAATGAATAAGTATCACATGTACCCCTGTACTGTGATGGTTTGGATGGTAGGGAATGAATACTAGCAGCTACTGTTTCTTATCATGTATGGTCTTTATGTTTGTACAAGTGGAACGGTATAACTACAAAATTGTAAACTTTCATTTTATTTTGAAAAACAAAAACAGCAAAAATCAAATTCTCATAATTGTTTTCCATATTTCAATGATTAATTGAAAAAATGTCACTTTATGTGGTTTTATCTCCAAAATTGATCTATGTTGCTGTTCTCTGAAGATTTTATGAATTTGAGTTTGTAGGTTTTACTTAAGAATCACATGAGAACAAATTTTTATTATGCTACAGCTGATCACCATTTCACTTGTGTTAAATGTTTAATTTGTAGCTTCAGTTTTGTGATTAATCTAGATGTAATGCATGATAAATAACGATGGATTTTACCGCCTCCCAATAATTTTGTAGGGTGTTGGTATCTTATGCAGCATTTCTCATTACCCACAGTATTCATGTTAGAAATGCACTTATTATATAAATAGAATCAGTTGGGAAATACAAAGTACTTATCTCCTGCCCAAAGGAGACCAGTAGCATGCTGGGATGAAAGTGTATCAAGCTTGTTCAAATGAATGATCTTGACCATTTTCTAGGTCACAGGGTTGAAACGTGACTACTGTTCAATAACCAAGAGGTCCATGCCTATGAACAACATGTAAATGAAACCATAATCCAAACACACATTCACCAAAACTAGGGCAAAATATCTACAAAAGAAAGATTTACATGCAGACTCCAGAAATAGTGCAAGGATAATAAGACCAAGTGTTCCAGAAGAGTAAGCATCTTTTGCTTCATTGACAACACTCACCATACAAATATTGGTCAATCCAAGTAAATGAGATCAATGTAAACAACAATGGAAGCAGCAGGCAAACTTATGAGCATCAAAGCTTCATATTATGCAAAGCAATAGAATATTTCTCAATGTAGATTCTACTCTGGCAAAAGATGGAAGAATTTTGATTTGCCAACCACTATGAAAAAAAAATGTTTGAATTTTCAATGGTTTATTTTACATGTATTGTGAAAAATATTCTTTATAGATGGAAAGTTAAAGTTGTAGTAGGATCCATGACCGATGTGGAAATACTGACACTTTTTAAAATTTTGATGTTTCTTATATGTGTGCAACATTGACTGGGAAAACATGAAATATTTAGAAGAATTGTTATATTATTTTTATTCTTGTGGGGGTTTTTTTTGTTAAGGAAAAAAAAAGATAATCTCACGAATAAAGACAGGACAATATATAAAATGAAAATGATTTTATTTTTTTACACTTTTTTCTTAGTGTTAGATTTCTACTTCTTTAAGGAATGCTGTATAGACACCAAGCACCTGTCATTAAATACAACTTTTAATGTTGATATTGTTGCATGTACATGTTTGATTAATGTTTACTGTTATCTGCATGTACATGTTCCTTGTATAGACTTTGAAGCATTTTATGTGTAATGATTATTTGCCTGGCCTGGTACTGTACCCACTAATGGGCTTTTTTTTAACTCTGCTTTTGTTCAGACATTTCTACCAAGTCCGGTTCGTCCATTGGCGTAAGTGGCTTCATTCTGTACAGATTTTCACTTTATTTAATTCTTTTTTCACTTCCTGCCTTCTTACATGCTTTAACTCTTAACTTTGATTGCTTCTGTGTCAGCTTGAATGTTTAATACAAAATATGGTGAATAATGTATCTTCTTTGAAAAAATAATAATAGTCTTTTTGTATAATAATCAATTATTTAGAAAGTATAATAATCACCATTGAAGAAAGTCAATTTTTAAAAATGTCTTTTTGTACAAAATTAATATAAATTCTCCACTTTTTGAAATAATTATTAAATGTACAATGTATTTCAAATATGTGAGTTTAACCTACTTTTCCAAGCATTTCATAAAGTTTTGAAAATAATGATATGTTGCATATTATTTGTCTCTTAATTTGAAAGGACATAGTTTTATAACATATAATGATAAAAATGATATAGCTTGAAGTTTGACACTATAGTTTTATAACATATAATGATAAAAATGATATAGCTTGAAGTTTGAAATATCCTTACTTATGAAGTTATATACAACCTGTCGTGTTCATAGTATTTCTTATGTATGGTTTCATCAAGAATCCAGTGTTGAAAAATTACCTGCAGTATATTTCTTTATATACAGAATGATGATTATAGCTGTGATAATCAGGAGGATGCTGTTGGTATGGGAGACACATTGATGTCAGCTTATATATCACAAACAGGTGAGACTAATGTTTCATCCCCATGGAGGTGAGATAGGTGGATCTCTACCCTAGGCGAAGATTAAATTAGCAAACATGAGGTTTGTCGAATGTCTGTAACTTTAACATCTTTTCCCAGGGGTAAAGATCACCCTATCTATCCAACAAGGGGATGAATGATTCCTTTTCTCTTGCCTTGCTGGCTTTGTTAGATACTCATATGTGGTTTTTGTTGTTTCAATGTTTCACATCGTTGATTTAATTCAGTTGTTGACATGATGTCAGTGAATTGTCCTGTAATATCGTATCCTTGTCCTGCCAGGGGAATCCCCATGTCTCAACCTTAGGGTGAGGCAAGGAAATCTCACAACAGTAAAAAGCATGGATTTACCTGTTTAGGGTCAGAGAAAAAACAATCAAGTCATGGTTACTGTAATGTTCAGTCAGTGATTCATCACAGAAAGATGGTACATAGAGACCTGTAGGAGAACCTATTTTAACACTTGGATTGTACAAGCCCATTTAAAAACAAATACACAAGATTTCCCTGACACTTACAGGTAAGTGGCTCAATTTTTTGTTCAGGAGTTGCAAGGTTTGAAAAGTTGGCCAGTTAGGCAATGACGATAGTTCCACAGACATCCAGGTGTGACGTTTGACTCTTGAGTCATGAATCCATATTGCTTGTCTTCACCTACCTATGATTTACCTGTGTGCTTTTTTTTTAATGACAGTCATCAAATGAAGTGATATTAAGTGTTGCCCACATGAAAAACAGTGACATGATCAGGTGTTGAATTACATAGAATAAGGCAATATCATGGACGATATGAATGGAACCAAAGGTCACGATAAGAAAATATTCAAAAGGCGATGTTGTCTTGATGGAAGGAAGCATTTTTTCAATTAAAGAGTTATTGATATTTGGAATAACTTACCACAAATTGTTGTAAATCCTGAATCCGTTATAAAATTTGAAATAATGTTAGATGAACATAGGAAAAATCACTGTTTTTACAAAGGAATGTATGATAACTTATCTATCAAGCCATTACACAGGAAATATTTACATTATGTTGTGTATTAATTTTGATATAGAGATAAGGCTGCATCCATTTATTCATGCTAATAAATGTTAATAAATAGAATGTATAGAGAAAAAAAGGTGTTTCAAGAAAACAGGAGGTGTCATTATGTGGTTTCTATTGTAATAACATGTGATGTGTAAACAACCCTTACAGTATTTGTGCTAATAAACAGCATTTTACTTTGTACACGACATGATGTGGTCACTTTATAGAGTGTAATGTAAATATCATCGAATGATTTATGTTATTTTGAATCAATTGAAAAATTTACAAAGTATGGTGCGATACATGCTACACAGGTATAGTGAAGGAGTCTGACAAGTCAGGAAAATCATATGCAGTATTTGCCATCCGAGTGACGAGGAAACAGCATGATGATGAAGATATACAGGAGGTTTACAGACGATACAGTGATTTTCATGATCTTAATATGTTAGTGCAGGAAAAGGTATGTACCTAGAACTTAAGGTTATCTTCTGTTGTAACAAGTTAGTGCAAAACAATATAGAAGTATTAATCACCAATACCTGTATAACTAAGCATAGTGTGGCATGGAAAGAAGTTTTTCAATAAGGCTAGCAAGAATTTTCACCTGGACATTGTATGCTTATTTAGTAGAAAGGTGCAATCCCACTACCCAATAAATATAGCTAATTTTAGGAAAGGACCTGTTCAATTTCTTAATAACTTTACTAGTGTTTTGAAGTAAAATTGTGATTTTTTTTTATATCTTTCATTTAAAGTATTTCATATGATTTCATCTAATTAACATTTTTAATTATATCAAATGTTTCAGCTTTCATTACAAATTGTTTTTATTGTCAGTTCCCAGAATTACAGGGTCCACATCTTCCAGGAAAAACAGTCTTGAAACAAATGAACAAGGACTTCTTAGAAAAGCGACGGAAAGCGTTAGACAACTACCTCCAGGTAGGAAATCTTTCCAAAACCTGACATTAAAGTTTAACATTCCACCCTATGTTAACTCAATACTGTCATTTTTACAGGAGTGTTGAGGCCAGTGGGTTCATGTTGGACATTGTATGTAAATAAGTATGGTGTTGTATAAGATGTGTATGTGTTTGTGTATAAATGTGTGTGGTAGTCTTTTAACATGATTAGGAATGCTAAAAATGTTTGACAAACGATGTGATAAAAGATATGTATCAATATAACTCTGCGAAGATTTATTTTACTTGGCAATATTTACAGTCGTTTTAAATAAATTGATATGAACCTTTATCATGTTTCAGACCTTGTTGAACAAAGATCTTTGGGACCAGTATCATGGTCTGAAAGACCTTGTGCTCAAATTCCTAGCTCCAGGATTGTGGGAAAAGCATAAGAGCGAGCTTGCAAGGAAGGTGAGAACTATATAAAGATATTTCATATAATTTCAGATACAAATTTATGAAAGTGTTTGACTCCTACCTGATAAAGCATGTGGAACTTCTCCAAACCGACCATGCATGGAACATGAATATTTGGTCGGTTTAGGGAGGGATAGGTTTATAGAAGTGAAGCAAGTTGACCAGTCCAGTCTCTGATATAATTGAATTCTATTCTGTACAGTACATTAACCATGTACGCTACACATTTTCGTAAAGTGAGAAAACAGTGATACTTGTATTCTATGTGTCACTTTAGTCGGAAAGGAAACTTAGAAGTAACATAATGTTACATACAGCTCAACATAGCCCTGGTCGGATGGCTTGTCCAAAAGTGTTACCAACCGATATATTTGATGAATATGTGTTTTGTTGATCAATACAAAAACTTATCTTCTAAAACAAGACTAGATTAATCTTTCCGTTTTTTATGTATTAAAATAGCATTATTCAATTCATCATGATTTAGATACAAAACTGCGGCTTTCTAACTCTGCATCAGTACTTATGGTTTCAAATTGTCATTGGAGATAACCATACAATATGTAAGTCATGATCCTCCTGACCAGGGTAGGTATTTTGTACAAAGTCCACCCGTGACAGGTGTGCACACTACTTGGTCTGCTGGTCTGGTCAGAACTGGGGTCTTAATCGTTCAGATAATGCCAGTTTTCAAAAGCAATTCTTCAGTATATTTGATTAATTTCAGACACAAAATTTGTTTGGTATTTTGAAGTTAGAGGGATCGGTAATGGGAAAGTGTTTATTACTATAATAAAAAGGACAGCATTCTGTACATCGCTATTTTGTTCGGTTTCAAGAGGTGATCGGTTTTGAGAAGGATTGGTTTGGGGAAGTTGCGCTGTATGTTGATATTTTAAAAAATTTGAGGTGAAAACATACCACTTGGGGAATATTACCCTTTTCCAGTAGTAAATTTTGTCCAGATTAATCCCTGAAACACCAATGCGTTTGTTATTTTGTCTGCAGATGGACACCATTGTTAATCCTTTGCGGACATCAGTGAAGAGAGTGGTGTCTACAGACGGTTCTTTTGTTGATGGACTTGGAAAGTTCATTAAAGGGGTAAGTCTGAAGGACTGTCACATGAATAATGTTAATGCTTAGCCCATGTGGAAAGGAATGAAATCGGAACCTTTACATAGTAGTGATGTTTTGATTGCAGTTTCTTAAATCTGTGAATTAAATCAAACAGTCAAAAGAGATCCTTTCAACTTTGTTAAAAAAAATCTATTGAAAAAATTCATTTTGAATTTGATCATTGTATATATTTGATTTATTCAGGTGAAGCATTCAACTAGATTTTATTTCATATGAAAAGTAATATATCCAAATCTTTCATTCTATGTTGAATATGTTCAATATCTGACATAATTAACAATATGCATTTTACTTTTGCTACAGGAAGGGTCTGCCACTGGTGACAGGAGAGGACAAGACAGCAAGGTTGGAGCTGGTATCGACCTTGTGGTGAGTCAATTTGGTTTAATGTAAAAAATCTTGTGTACGTTTTCAATTTAAAATTGAAAGTAAAGTTGAATATAAAGTCTTGATCCTTGATTTTACAACTTTGTCTTGAGAAAAACTGGTTGAGAGAAAATTAGCGCTTTAGAAATGGATCAAGATACACCAGCATACATATTGATAATACAGTTTTCTAAACGAAATGTTTCTTTCTGTTAAACTTGTATTTTTAGATTATATGCAACATGTATCTAGTTTGTTTGGACATTGACTTATTCTACTTTTTGTTTATTAGGGTGATGAGAACATCCCCCTCAGGATCATGCTTCTGCTGATGGACGAAGTCATTGACCTTCGGCAAAAGAACCAGTGGTTACGCCGTCGTATAGTGGCAATTCTCCGACAACTCATCAAAGCTGCTTTTGGAGATAGAATTAACAAGTTAGTCTATTTATGAAATATTGTTTTTAAGCAGGGCAAGGTTAACTCTACAAATTAACTTTGAATACACAGAAGATTTACAAATTTCATAAAAGATGTACAAGAAATTGATAAAAAAAATTATTATGCAAAAGACAATGGAAGCTAAAAGCTAGTTATTTTTACAAGAGGGAAATGAGGTAGTATATAAACTGTCACAGTTAGATTTTGGTTTGTTTCTTGGATGAGAGGTTAAAACTTTAATCATAATGCGAAAACATGATGTCTTTGAATTACCTATCTTTGAATCACCTATCTTGATATTTTAGACTTTGATTGACAGTTGGATTTGTTTTCTAGGAAGATTGTGGAGCATGTTGATTGGATGACATCTGCAGAACAAATGGCAGAATATGTAAAAACTTTCAGGTAAATTCTACACTCATGATGGCTTTATCTAGAACTTAGAGATCATTCCCTGGTTTTATTATATTCAGTGTATACAGAGTAATATTTGTAGTCATCACAGACAAGTAAAAATAATTATATATTTATGATAGGTGATATTACAGGTAAAGAGTATGTTATAGAATAATTAATTGTTTTATGAATGTGTTTATAGTCATTATAATTGCTCGTTACCTTCAAGCAAAGCGCCTCGGTGGCTGAGTGGTTAGAAATCTGATTGTCTTTATCACTAACCCTCCACCCCAAGTCACAGGTTAGAAACCTGGGCTGGTCAGTCACCAGGTACTGGGCGCAGGTCGGTGGTTTTTCTCCAGGAACTCTTTCCTCCACCACCAGAACCTGGCATGTCTTTAAATGGCCCAGGGTGTAAATAGGATGCAAAGCAACAATAAACATAAAAGATAAAACTAAAAAGTTAACTGTTACTGTTTCAAAGATTTATGAGAAGGGAACTTTGTTATCATAATTGCATGGGATGTCTAGTACTGTTGTAATGGGATAATAGCAGGCTAATGTAAACATCTTATATGAGATTACAAGTCACAGAAGTGATGTGAAAGTGGTGTTATATCCTTCGAATTCTTCATTGTTGAATTATGACTTATTTTATCAGGGATTCCTTCTGGCCTGGAGGTGTTCTAGCAGAGACACAACCCCCACGTTCCCTACATACTAAAATGAGGACCAGAGTAGCTTGTAAAGCAAAGATGTTGGGCAGTGTTCCAGGTAAAATATATATACAATTGTAACTGGTAAAGGAAAGATGTCGGGCAGTGTTCCAGATGAACTTTATATAATGGTAGCTTGTGAAGTTAAGATGCTGAAATAGAATTAAATAAACAACTTTCTCAACCTTGTTCTGTTACTGTAGTTAAGTTGTACTGCTACCGTAGTTAGGTCGTACTGCTGCCGTATTTAGGTTGTACTGCTACTGTGGTTAAGTTGTTCTGCTACTGTGGTTAAGTTGTACTGCTACTAAGGTTAAGTTGTTCTGCTACTGTAGTTAAGTTGTACTGATACCATAGTTAAGTTGTACTGCTACCGTAGTTAAGTTGTACTGCTACTGTGGTTAAGTTGTACTGCTACGGTACTTAGGTTGTACTGCTACCATAGTTAAGTTGTACTGCTACCGTAGTTAGGTCTTACTGCTGCCGTATTTAGGTTGTACTGATACCATAGTTAGGTTGTACTGATACCATAGTTAAGTTGTACTGCTACCGTAGTTAAGTTGTACTGCTACTGTGGTTAAGTTGTACTGCTACGGTACTTTGGTTGTACTGCTACCATAGTTAGATTGTACTGATACCGTAGTTAGGTTGTACTGCTACCATAGTTAAGTTGTACTACTACCGTAGTTAGGTTGTACTGCTACTGTAGTTAAGTTGTACTGCTAACGTAGTTAGGTTGTACTGATACCGTAGTTAAGTTGTACTGCTACTGTAGTTAAGTTGTACTGCTACTGTAGTTAAGTTGTACTGCTACTGTAGTTAAGTTGTACTGCTAACGTAGTTAGGTTGTACTGATACCGTAGTTAAGTTGTACTGCTACTGTAGTTAGGTTGTACTGCTACTGTAGTTAAGTTGTACTGCTACTGTAGTTAAGTTGTCGTTAAGTTGCACTGCTTCTGTGGTTAAGTTGTACTGCTACCGTAGTTAAGTTGTACTGCTACTGTAGTTAAGTTGTACTGCTACTGTAGTTAAGTTGTCGTTAAGTTGCACTGCTTCTGTGGTTAAGTTGTACTGCTACCGTAGTTAAGTTGTACTGCTACTGTAGTTAAGTTGTACTGCTACTGTAGTTAGGTTGTACTGCTACTGTGGTTAAGTTGTACTGCTACCGTAGTTAAGTTGTACTGCTACTGTAGTTAAGTTGTTCTAACATAGTTAGATTGTACTGATACTGTAGTTAAGTTGTACTGATACTGTAGTTAATTTGTACTTCTACCGTAGTTAGGTTGTACTGATTCTGTAATTACTGCTACCGAAGTGAAGTTGTACTGCTACCATAGTTCAATTGTACTGCTACCGAAGTGAAGTTGTACTGCTACCATAGTTAAGTTGTACTGCTACTGTAGTTCTGCTACCATAGTTAAGTTGTACTGCTACTGTAGTTCTGCTACCATAGTTAAGTTGTACTGCTACTGTAGTGAAGTTGTACTTGCACTGTAATTCAGTTGTACTGCTACCGAAGTGAAGTTGTACTGCTACCATAGTTCAGTTGTACTGCTACCAAAGGGAAGTTGTACTGCTACCGTAGTTAAGTTGTACTGCTACTGTAGTTAAGTTGTAATGCTACTGTAGTGAAGTTGTACTGCTACTGTAGTTAAATTGCACTGCTACCGTAGTTAAGTTGCACTGCTACCGTAGTGAAGTTGTACTGCTACTGTAGTTAAGTTGTACTGCTACTGTAGTTAAGTTGCACTGCTACCGTAGTTCTGCTACCGTAGTTAAGTTGTACTGCTACCTTAGTGAAGTTGTACTTGCTCTGTAGTTAAGTTGCACTGCTACTGTAGTTAAGTTGTGCTACTACCGTAGTGAAGTTGTACTTGCACTGTAGTTAAGTTGCACTGCTACCGTAGTGTCAGATGGGAAGACAACATTGCTTACTTCAACATCTTCCATGTCATTATTGTCTTTTCTCCAGAATGTTTTGCTCCATAAACATGTCTGTTAATATTTTTTAAGAAAATGGTTAGTTTTCCTTTTGGATGATAGAAGAATGAATAAATCACAAATGCAATATTTTACAGTTCAAGGCTTATTTAGGATTTATTTTTGCTATAGATGGAGATTAGATTTTATGTATCCACTTTCTCTGTCCATCTGTTGCTCCATCTCTTTTAGATTTTATTTGTAGGTTCCCCTTGGTCCTGTTTTCTGTTTTGCTATAGGTGGAGATCTTTTAGATTTTATTTGTAGGTTCCCCTTGGTCCTTTGTTTTGCTATAGATGGAGATCTTTTAGATTTTATTTGTAGGTTCCCCTTGGTCCTTAGTTTTGCTATAGATAGGTATGTTCCCCTTGGTCCTTAGTTTTGAGATCTTTTTAGATTTTATTTGTAGGTTCCCCTTGGTCCTTAGTTTTGCTATAGATGATCTTTTAGATTTTATTTGTAGGTTCCCCTTGGTCCTTACATAATCTTTTAGATTTTATTTGTAGGTTCCCCTTGGTCCTTTGTTTTGCTATAGTTTTGCTATATATGGAGATCTTTTAGATTTTATTTGTAGGTTCCACTTTGTCCTTAGTTTTGCTATAGATGGAGATCTTTTAGATATTTGTAGGTATAGATGGAGATCTTTTGACCCCTTGTCCTTAGTTTTGCTATAGATGGAGATCTTTTAGATTTTATTTGTAGGTTCCCCTTGGTCCTTAGTTTTGCTATAGATGGAGATCTTTTAGATTTTATTTGTAGGTTCCCCCTTGGTCCTTAGTTTTGCTATAGTTTTGCTATAGATGGAGATCTTTTAGATTTTATTTGTAGGTTCCCCTTGGTCCTTAGTTTTGCTATAGATGGAGATCTTTTAGATTTTATTTGTAGGTTCCCCTTGGTCCTTAGTTTTGCTATAGATGGAGATCTTTTAGATTTTATTTGTAGGTTCCCCCCTTTGTTTTGCTATAGTTTTGCTATAGATGGAGATTTTTTAGATTTTATTTGTAGGTTCCCCTTGGTCCTTTGTTTTGCTATAGTTTTGCTATAGATGGAGATCTTTTAGATTTTATTTGTAGGTTCCCCTTGGTCCTTTGTTTTGCTATAGATGGAGATCTTTTAGATTTTATTTGTAGGTTCCCCTTGGTCCTTAGTTTTGCTATAGATGGAGATCTTTTAGATTTTATTTGTAGGTTCCCCTTGGTCCTTAGTTTTGCTATAGATGGAGATCTTTTAGATTTTATTTGTAGGATCTTTTAGATTTTATTTGTAGGTTCCCCTTGGTCCTTAGTTTTGCTATAGATGGAGATCTTTTAGATTTTATTTGTAGGTTCCCCTTGGTCCTTAGTTTTGCTATAGATGGAGATCTTTTAGATTTTATTTGTAGGTTCCCCTTGGTCCTTTGTTTTGCTATAGTTTTGCTATAGATGGAGATTTTTTAGATTTTATTTGTAGGTTCCCTTTGGTCCTTTGTTTTGCTATAGTTTTGCTATAGATGGAGATCTTTTAGATTTTATTTGTAGGTTCCCCTTGGTCCTTAGTTTTGCTATAGATGGAGATCTTTTAGATTTTATTTGTAGGTTCCCCTTGGTCCTTTGTTTTGCTATAGATGGAGATCTTTTAGATTTTATTTGTAGGTTCCCCTTGGTCCTTAGTTTTGCTATAGTTTTGCTATAGATGGAGATCTTTTAGATTTTATTTGTAGGTTCCCCTTGGTCCTTTGTTTTGCTATAGATGGAGATCTTTTAGATTTTATTTGTAGGTTCCCCTTGGTCCTTTGTTTTGCTATAGATGGAGATCTTTTAGATTTTATTTGTAGGTTCCCCTTGGTCCTTTGTTTTGCTATAGTTTTGCTATAGATGGAGATCTTTTAGATTTTATTTGTAGGTTCCCCTTGGTCCTTTGTTTTGCTATAGTTTTGCTATAGATGGAGATCTTTTAGATTTTATTTGTAGGTTCCCCTTGGTCCTTAGTTTTGCTATAGATGGAGATCTTTTAGATTTTATTTGTAGGTTCCCCTTGGTCCTTTGTTTTGCTATAGATGGAGATCTTTTAGATTTTATTTGTAGGTTCCCCTTGGTCCTTTGTTTTGCTATAGTTTTGCTATAGATGGAGATCTTTTAGATTTTATTTGTAGGTTCCCCTTGGTCCTTAGTTTTGCTATAGATGGAGATCTTTTAGATTTTATTTGTAGGTTCCCCTTGGTCCTTAGTTTTGCTATAGATGGAGATCTTTTAGATTTTATTTGTAGGTTCCCCTTGGTCCTTTGTTTTGCTATAGATGGAGATCTTTTAGATTTTATTTGTAGGTTCCCCTTGTCCTATTGTTTTGCTATAGTTTTGCTATAGATGGAGATCTTTTAGATTTTATTTGTAGGTTCCCCTTGGTCCTTAGTTTTGCTATAGATGGAGATCTTTTAGATTTTATTTGTAGGTTCCCCTTGGTCCTTAGTTTTGCTATAGATGGAGATCTTTTAGATTTTATTTGTAGGTTCCCCTTGGTCCTTAGTTTTGCTATAGATGGAGATCTTTTAGATTTTATTTGTAGGTTCACCTTTGTCCTTAGTTTTGCTATAGATGGAGATCTTTTAGATTTTATTTGGAGGTTCCCCTTGGTCCTTAGTTTTGCTATAGATGGAGATCTTTTAGATTTTATTTGTAGGTTCCCCTTGGTCCTTTGTTTTGCTATAGATGGAGATCTTTTAGATTTTATTTGTAGGTTCCCTTTGGTCCTTTGTTTTGCTATAGTTTTGCTATAGATGGAGATCTTTTAGATTTTATTTGTAGGTTTCCCTTGGTCCTTAGTTTTTTTGCTTAGATTAGATTTTATTTTATTTGTATAGTTTTGCTATAGATGGAGATCTTTTAGATTTTATTTGTAGGTTCCCCTTGGTCCTTTGTTTTGCTATAGTTTTGCTATAGATGGAGATCTTTTAGATTTTATTTGTAGGTTCCCCTTGGTCCTTAGTTTTGCTATAGATGGAGATCTTTTAGATTTTATTTGTAGGTTCCCCTTGGTCCTTTGTTTTGCTATAGTTTTGCTATAGATGGAGATCTTTTAGATTTTATTTGTAGGTTCCCCTTGGTCCTTAGTTTTGCTATAGATGGAGATCTTTTAGATTTTATTTGTAGGTTCCCCTTGGTCCTTAGTTTTGCTATAGATGGAGATCTTTTAGATTTTATTTGTAGGTTCCCCTTGGTCCTTAGTTTTGCTATAGATGGAGATCTTTTAGATTTTATTTGTAGGTTCCCCTTGGTCCTTTGTTTTGCTATAGATGGAGATCTTTTAGATTTTATTTGTAGGTTCCCCTTGGTCCTTGGTTTTGCCTTTAGTTTTGCTATAGATGGAGATCTTTTAGATTTTATTTGTAGGTTCCCCTTGTTTTGCTTAGTTTTGCTATAGATGGAGATCTTTTAGATTTTATTTGTAGGTTACCCAAGTTCATAAGTATTTCAAAATATGGAAATCTTTTATATATTATTTGTAGGTTCCCCTTGGTCCCTTAGTTTTGCTATAGATGGAGATCCTTAGTTTTGCTATAGATGGAGATCTTTTAGATTTTATTTGTAGGTTCCCCTTGGTCCTTAGTTTTGCTATATAGATTTTTTTGATTTTATTTGTAGGTTTTGCTATAGATGGAGATCTTTTAGATTTTATTTGTAGGTTCCCCTTGGTCCTTAGTTTTGCTATAGATGGAGATCTTTTAGATTTTATTTGTAGGTTCCCCTTGGTCCTTTGTTTTGCTATAGATGGAGATCTTTTAGATTTTATTTGTAGGTTCCCCTTGGTCCTTTGTTTTGCTATAGATGGAGATCTTTTAGATTTTATTTGTAGGTTCCCCTTGGTCCTTAGTTTTGCTATAGATGGAGATCTTTTAGATTTTATTTGTAGGTTCCCTATAGATGGAGATCTTTTAGATTTTATTTTGTTCCCCTTGTCCTATAGTTTTGCTATAGATGGAGATCTTTTAGATTTTATTTGTAGGTTCCCCTTGGTCCTTTGTTTTTAGTTTTGCTATAGATGGAGATCTTTTAGATTTTATTTGTAGGTTCCCCTTGGTCCTTAGTTTTGCTATAGATGGAGATCTTTTTAGATTTTATTTGTAGGTTCCCCTTGGTCCTTAGTTTTGCTATAGATGGAGATCTTTTAGATTTTATTTGTAGGTTCCCCTTGGTCCTTAGTTTTGCTATAGATGGAGATCTTTTAGATTTTATTTGTAGGTTCCCCTTGGTCCTTTGTTTTGCTATAGTTTTGCTATAGATGGAGATCTTTTAGATTTTATTTGTAGGTTCCCCTTGGTCCTTAGTTTTGCTATAGATGGAGATCTTTTAGATTTTATTTGTAGGTTCCCCTTGGTCCTTTGTTTTGCTCCAGATGGAGGTGCCTAATGATTTAATAGGTCAAATCTTTATTAATAGCAAAGCAGGATATCCCCCAGTGTTTGGTATTTCATTGATAATTTCTTTGTATGTCATACATCTTTGTTCATGTTGTTGTTTTATGATGTTTACAAGTACAAATGAGCTTTTTGACTAATGTATTTCTCTGTGAAATTCCAGATGAGATGCGGACATTGATGGGTACTGAAACAATCAAACTGGGAGTGACACGAATATTTGACATGTTTCAAATCAAGAACCTCAACAGGAGACTTGTGTATGTCTGTCTAGAGGGAGTTATACAGACACTATTCCCAGACAATAAGTTTATAGACCTTTTTGAAAAGCTACATTCCAGATCCAACAGGAAATTCACCAAAGATTATGGCGAGAAATCAGAAATAGACCCTGTATTAAGAAAACGCCCAGTGCGGCGGTGAATTGTCCGCAGGGATTCACCTGCATACCAGAAACAGGCTGTGATAATTTCCAACATTTTTTTATCCTAAGTATTGAATAATATATTTATCATGTGATTTTTGTGTTGATGAAGGGTTTTTAATATACTGTTATATATTGTGGAATTCATCTGTTATAAGTGTCGCCTCCAAATGTCTATTGGTTGGCATCAATTTTTTAAAGTTTATTTAACATCTAATGAAAAGTTCTGATTTCAAAATTTTAATCATTATTTGATATGGTATATACTAGATTATAAAATACTGTAAGGAAAATTTCCAAAAACAATTTTAATATCATCAGTCATCTTTTTGTCAATTTTCATACAATGTTCCAATAGCAAAAGATAGTTTCTTCAATTGTCATACAAAATTTGTCATTATGTGATATAAACAGAGGAAGCATAGAATCAAACTATCCATACAATTTCAAATTAAGGGCATTGTATGCACAGAAGAAAAATTTCCATTTTCAAAGGTAAATTTACTTTTTTTAAGATTTTCTGTAAATTACTGGAAAAAGATGCATTCTTTTATTCAATTATTATTATCATAGTAATCAATTGATGTGATAAAATGCCAAATTGTTGACAGAGTTTTGTGAAGACTTTGTTTATTCATGAAATCTTTAGGTCACCTGAGACAGTGTCATGGTGATTGCAGTCGCCTTTTGTCCGGCTTTGTGTGTCTGTGCAACATGAGTCTTCGAACATAAACATTTTTGGCTTCTTCTCAAAAAATGAAGTGTGAATTAAGTGGCCCAAAACCCCAGGGACCTGAGAGGCGGGGGCCAAAAATGGTCAAATTGACTCAAAATTCAAAAATCCTTTTCTCAACATCCAGATATGGTAGAATCGAATACTCTTTATGGATGGAAGGGTCTTGAGATGCTTTACCAAAATAACAGTTTCGTGACCCCAGGGTCTCGCATTTCCCCAGGGGAAGGGGGTAACGTTTGCTATAGTTTATATAGGAAAAGTATGTTTTTGAGCATAATTTGTTTAATTTCCATTTCAAATATCTCAAACTTGGTTAGAATTATTAGCAAAAGTTGATGACTTGATGGTATGCAAATTTTGATACAAGCTGGCCCACAGGGGCTTAAAACATATCACTTAAGTCTTACTATCATCATTGTCACAATTTCTTATTCATGACACTTGAAAGCTACTTATCCTACAACCTTTATATTCAGTATTGCTGACCTCAGGTGACTGTCAAGGCCACTAGGCCACTTGTTTATATAAAAACTAGATAGTTAAACATTTGATGTAGTGGTAACTGCCTAAACCATTGTTATTTCCAGCATTAATGTACATGCCAGTTAGTGAGTAGAATTTTCAAAAGCGAGTTTCAAAATAGAATTTTCTTTACTTTAAGAATTTATGATATACATACTGTAAACTTTTTGTATATTTATTATAATTACATGTTTATGCATCATAGATTTATTGTTTTGTTTATAGTGATTTATCACCTGGTTTTAGGGTCTAAAATAACCAGGCCTGCCACAGATCATTCAGACATTTTTGTGATTTTGATATAAAATTTATTTTCATTCAAAACTGAAAACGAAGTGCAGAAACAAGTTCGACTGATGGTTATGTCATGAAATAAAAGATTGAATTTTGTATTCAACCCATTTTGATTTGCAATGCTTTGTGTAAAGGTTTTCTAACTTCTGGTTTTAGTTATTAAGTAAGCAGTAATAATTAAAATTTTACAACGAAATTCGAGCTCAATCTTGTTTTCTGATGGATTGTATGTGTAAATTGTTTAATTCTATAACAAAGTCCTCTCTTGTTTAATTCTATAACAAAGTCCTCTCTTGTTTAATTCTATAACAAAGTCCTCTCTTGTTTAATTCTATAACAAAGTCCTCTCTTGTTTAATTCTATAACAAAGTCCTCTCTTGTTTAATTCTATAACAAAGTCCTCTCTTGTTTAATTCTATAACAAAGTCCTCTCTTGTTTAATTCTATAACAAAGTCCTCTCTTGTTTAATTCTATAACAAAGTCCTCTCTTGTTTAATTCTATAACAAAGTCCTCTCTTGTTTAATTCTATAACAAAGTCCTCTCTTGTTTAATTCTATAACAAAGTCCTCTCTTGTTTAATTCTATAACAAAGTCCTCTCTTGTTTAATTCTATAACAAAGTCCTCTCTTGTATAATTCTATAACAAAGTCCTCTCTTGTTTAATTCTATAACAAAGTCCTCTCTTGTTTAATTCTATAACAAAGTCCTCTCTTGTTTAATTCTATAACAAAGTCCTCTCTTGTTTAATTCTATAACAAAGTCCTCTCTTGTTTAATTCTATAACAAAGTCCTCTCTTGTTTAATTCTATAACAAAGTCCTCTCTTGTTTAATTCTATAACAAAGTCCTCTCTTGTTTAATTCTATAACAAAGTCCTCTCTTGTTTAATTCTATAACAAAGTCCTCTCTTGTTTAATTCTATAACAAAGTCCTCTCTTGTTTAATTCTATAACAAAGTCCTCTCTTGTTTAATTCTATAACAAAGTCCTCTCTTGTATAATTCTATAACAAATTCCTCTCTTGTTTAATTCTATAAAAAAGTCCTCTCTTGTATAATTCTATAACAAAGTCCTCTCTTGTTTAATTCTATAACAAAGTCCTCTCTTGTATAATTCTATAACAAAGTCCTCTCTTGTTTAATTCTATAACAAAGTCCTCTCTTGTATAATTCTATAACAAAGTCCTCTCTTGTTTAATTCTATAACAAAGTCCTCTCTTGTATAATTCTATAACAAAGTCCTCTCTTGTTTAATTGTCAAACTTGTAGATTATTTCCTTTTCTGTTAAATCTAATAGTGGCCTTTTGTGTTAGTTTCAAATTCTGTGTCTTCTAGACTAGTTCAAGTCAATCATAAAACATACAATATTTTAATTTGTTAGCCTTAGGTATTTTGGCGGAAACATTAACATACAAATATCAGTTGCAAATGTCAGGTAATTTGGTCCAGTTATTAGTTTTATACAAATAGCAGATGTAATGATGAAGTTAACAATTATCAACGAGGCTGAAGTTTCTTTACCAAACATTTAAATCTTCTGGTGGTAAATCTCATTTATTCAAGAGCTTTGTGCACTGAATTTTTTTTATACCAAAGAAAACCTTAAGGTTAGTAGCAGATGCAGTGAGGACAAAGCAAAATTCTGGAGATACAAAGTAATTGCAAATCGATTTCAGTTAACAAATAGCTATCATGGAAGATAGCTTAATGAATAGTTTCTTTCCTAGAGTTATAACAATGATGTATGTAGACAGAAGTGACAAGCACTTTTAAATGGTTTCTCTTTGACATTGATTCCAATTCCTACAATTCTGACTTCATCACAAGTCTTGTTACTTTGAGTGTTAGATATTGGTGATAGTGATGTCACCTTGTGATAGCATCAAAGTCACACTTGTATATTATCATATCATAATATTTGTTGTTTTTGGGTGTTGCTGAAAGATACAGATGAAATTATTTTGCATAATGTTTTACGTTGAACGTGTTTGTGATAATTGTTTGTTACAGTAGCTAAACTCTGTAGATCAGAGATGTCTGTGATTTTTTCATGTCATTGCTTTCTCTTCCATAGCTGGACATATATATGTACTGATGTGTGCAATAGTCCTATTGATGTATCTAATATATATGTAAAAGAAATGTGGGAATATATTTAATATGATGATAAATTTGCATGTGTTGTTTAAGTAGTTTCAGGAGGTAACATTATTTTGAGATCACATTCCATTAGGACAAATGAGGAGAACATTTCTTCAACGTCATTGGTCCATGGGTTAGATAAATCCAAGAAAATTGATTCCATTTCTCATCATATTATCTGACTGTCTGTAGAATCAGTTTCACAAGGCTTTTTAAAGCTTATGTCAAATCTAGTTTTAGTACAAGTATGATATTTATAAAACAATAACTTTGTTTTTATCTAAATGCTTTATTTTAGACTTTTAAACAAAATAATGTAATGAAAGAGAGGCATTATAAGATCAGATAATCTGACATGATCACATAGGACCAACAAAAAAATATTCATTTTAAAAGAATGTGGTTTTCATTGGTTAATTCTGTAAATGTTTTAAATGAATGAGCAATCATCGTCATCCTTTCATTTACATGAAAAGGATTTTTCATTGAGGGTTTATTTTTTCTTACTAAATCTTAAGTTTGAAAGTTGATTGGAAGTTTTTTACATCTTGGATAGAATCAATTTCTTTTTTTAATTTCTTTTGATTTCATGATGGGAGCATAGTGTTACCCTTGGCCATCATTCTAATATAACTTTTGTCTCATTCCTTTGGTCTGTGATGGATACAGATATAGACTTGTAATTTTCTATGTAGTTAATATTGATAATATGCAGGTCAAGATCAATTATCTATTTCCATAGTGATGGCCTTTAACCTCAACAATTTTCATCAAAATTTTCACAAAAATGATATGACCAAAACTGGATAGCCTTGCCTAACTCCAATGGAAATGAAAAGAGAAGAAAATCCAAACTTCTCCTTGGCATTCCTGTTTGTCCAACACCTCTAGTTTTCCTATACTTTTTTAACTTATAGTCTCTCTCAGTAAGAAGGCATAGGATATTTCCCCCATTACAGCGTTATTTCTGTTGGGTTTCTAGGTGGCTGGGACCATCAATGTCAATGCTTACAAGCATAAATGTTTGTAAAACAATCAGGGAAACAATATGTAGGACTCCTGTCTCTCGAGTTTCATATCTTCTGAGACATGTTTATTTCTGTGACTTTGTTTGCTCAACCCTGAGTATACAATCATGTATATTTAGGGCACCTACCAGTATATATTTATGTTTTGATAGACAAATTATCATTTAGGTAGAAGGACCTATAAAAGTTTTGGTAGAATACAAGATATCTTCAGACATGTCAGCTGCAGATTTAGCAGAGATGGTTTTGTATAGACTATCAAAGCAGCCTGCTTAAG